GTTGGCTGTTAATGAGAAATCCATGCACTTCCGCTGTCCTTGCTTTGGAAATTTGCACGGCAGTCATTCTGGCACGGCTTGCTCGGTACAAGACGAGTACGAGTACTAGAGTTTGGTTTGGAATCAAAAGTTGACGATTTCGGGTTTTACATTTGCATACTAATGTGGTGAGTGCTTTGGGTTGACGAAGGTCCACAAATTTGCGTTGTGTGTAGATGATCTGCTGCTTATTTACTTGCACTTGCCCAGAGTCTTGGGATTGTAAACAATCACAATTGGAAATGTATTTGCATTGGCCCCGATCAGGAGAAGGTCTGAAGTTCGATATGGTTGGAGGGATACCGTTCAAGTTTGCATTGTAATTTTTGTGGCCAATTCTTGTTGTCGTTTTGATTATCATATATGGACACTTTGTGTACTTTGCATATCTCGTAATGCATTGTAATTTGGGCGCTTGTCTGACTTTGCCGCGTAATGACACTGTGAAGCACCAATACCACTAATAGAAATTATTAGAACACTATCGGGCGAGCCTAAGCAAACAAGAACAAAATATACGAGACGAAACACTGGCCGTTGGTAGTTTGCGAAGTCAATTCTGTGTGTCTGAACGCGTTGTCGGTTGTATCGTTTTTCCTCTTCAATTTTCCGTCCGCACAGCGCGACGGTTCCCAACGAACTGACGCAATTCGTAGGCCAACACGTCGTTTAAAGGACGAAATTGGCCAAAGCCGAAGCCAAAACAACAACAAGGACGAAGGCAGCGTCTACATCGATAAGAATAACAGCGTAAACTCAGCAAAGAAGCTGAATTCTCTTAATTCATGCAACTTCAATAACTCAACAATTCTCTTTCAAAATAATTTGGTGGCTAAAAAATAGTTTATGGATTTGAGAAAGTTTGTTGTTAATATTATGATCTTGTTGACAAATTGAAACTATTATTGGTAATAATATAACTAATTAATATCTCTAAATGCGACACACACCTGAAAATTACGTATACGCCTCGACATCTGTAGATTAATTCTTCATCAGATATTGAAGAATACATTTACGAATGTATTTTATTTAATTTGCGTAAACACTTGCTTATGAACTATTTCTTTTTATTTAGATGTTATACGATAGAAAAGTACTCTTCTTTAGATTTATGGAATTTATTTCGAAACAAAGCAACACAACAGACCAACTGTATACCCATGTGCACAGTTTTTCATGGCGACTCAAGTCGATATAGACATTTTATTTTCCCTTACAACTTCACAAATTACAATGAACTATATAGAAACCTATGTATATAGCTCAATAAGTTATAACGACTTCAGCAGATAAAATTATCGAGGTCGGACATAATAAACATATAATATTCGTGAGTTCATTTTGTGTTTCATGCAACAATTAAATAATACCTTTTAACTCTTTGAATTACATATATAATTTTGACTTTTTTATTTTTTAAAAGTCGATATAACATTGTCTAAGTCCAGGAAGTATTTGCCAAATGCTGAACACACCCAAAGTATTCCAACAAAGTTGGAAATAATCCGCTTTTAAATACAAATAATATGATCTATACAAATGTTTTGTGCGAAGGCATAGCATTTTAAGAGCGAATTCTCTTAATTTGTTAACTCAGACCATCTGAGATAACGCTCTCGTTTTTTTTTTTTTATCTCTGGTAGCTGCAAAAGTTTCGGCGCGCGCACTTCTCGTTCGTTGAAAAGTAAACAAACGCAAGTTTTCATTCATAAATCCAACAACGAGTGCGTTGCGCCCGTTCTCCAAGCACATCGAACAACAAAGACCATTCCGGCACATAATCAGCGACAGAGAATGAAAAAAATTCGTATAAATTTAATCAAAACAAAATTGAAAAGCTCGGCAAGATAGCAAAAAGTGGCAGCCGAAGCAGTTGCCGAGCCGATTGTCGCCGACATGTGTTCATCGACTATGTCAGAAATATAAATGACTCATCCATTTATATATAGGCCGAGCTCCAATTGCCTCTGAGCTGGGATCAAGAAATGCGCATCTGGCGACGCCTACGGAATCAAGCAAATATGCTTAAATCGCCTTATGGGCTCATTATTGAGTCACAGCTCATTGACGATGCCTACTAATATGGAAGTTAGGCAATCAGCAAATGCATAAAACCATTTTGCGTGGAGAAAAAGGGGGGAATTATTGCATGCATATTTTGGCGCAATATTCGAATATTTGCCACTTTTACAAACAAAGCTCATTGCTGCAGCACGCACTGAAAGCTCTTCTACAACTGTGTTTGTCGCCCTCGCACAAAAGCCGCCGTCTATGCGACGCCATTGACACACTTGTACACAGAAAACAACACATATACACACACACACACGCTTGTATTGTTTGACCAGCAAGATTTTGTGTTGTTGTTGTTGCTTGCATGCGGCCGGTTTTTGTCGTCTTGCACCTCCCGCGCACCAACCGCCCAACACCACGAACCAGGCGGTAGACGACTCGAGTGACTTCAGCGTGATTCATCGAATCGACCTCAGGCTGCCGCCACAGCATATTCCAAAATAAACGTCACTCAGCCAGACTAGGCTGGAGTGCGTTTCGTTTCGTTTCGTTGACAAACTTAAGCAGCAACTTTTCAACTCTTTGCCTTTGTTTGTAGAAATTTCAATTGTATTTTTAAAACTTTGCATGCACATGCGAAGGCCAAACCAATTAATTTGAAATGGCGGGCCAGCAATTTAATGGCACTGTAACACAACTGGAGGAAGTGCGCCTGTCTCTGCATTTATATTTAGTTGCAAGTATCGGGTAACATCGGCCGAAGTACAATTGCATTTTATGCCAGATTTGTAAATTATGTATAAATGTATAAATAAACCATGTAACTAAGTAGTTGGGCAGTGTTGGCATATACTTGTACATACATACATACGTATGTATGTATAGTATGTACGAGTAATTGGACGATCATCGAATATTCTAATGACAATTAGGTTTCAAATATTCCGAAGGTGACATTTCTTTCATCAAAATTGAATTTTTAATAACAAAAAAACTAACGCATTCAAGCTACTTTGAAAAATAAGCAAAAAATAAAACTCTCTTCCGTAAAAAGGTTGGGGCACAGTCTATTCTAAATTCCAACAAAGGAATTTCTCGGAAACATATCCAGTCCTTTACTATATAGGAACAATGTTTGTTCAACTGCAGGAATTATTTAGCATCGCTCTTTAACTGCCTTTTATTTTCAGCTTATCATCATCACCTAACATAAATATTAATTTTGTTGGCAAAACAAAAATATATATACATACTTGTATATAAATAAGTATATTTTCAAATATAAATAAAATGGAGGGTGACAAATTTTGTAGTGAAATTATTATTGCAGAGAGATCTGACGTAATTCTTCATGGTAATAAGCTCTCTTTTTTGCGTTCGCGCAGTCGGTCTCTTGCGTCTTTAAGCTGGGTATTTAGTAGGGTTCAGCTCTTGTTCCTTGAAGAGAGCCAAGTATCTGCATGCGTGACAAAGTCAGGCGAGTCAGTCTAGCAAATACTCTCCTCGATTTGTCAGACAGTGGTTATTTTTGAGTTAAAATCCGTCTGACTGTACACCGAGGAGGGGCTGTTCAAAAGCCACAGCTATTCGAAAGAATAAAACCGGTTAATGCCCGCAAAGTCTGACCATTCAAGAGCAAGACGAGGGTCAAGTGATTTAAATAGTACAGCAATCGTGTTGCAATTCTAGCCCGATGTACACACGACAATCGATGGAAACAATATCACATGTCAGATGTGAGGCCTCACCACCGATTTATCCACAAGTTGTTTGGTGTGCCCGTAACTGTGTCATAGTCAAGATCGACTGAAGGCGGCACCTCGTCGACCTCAAATGTGAATTGAAATGCAAATTCTCTTCCGCTATATACATAAATGATAGCCACAACAAGTAGTTCAGATACAAATTGATGCGATTGTTACGTGTCTTCTCATTCAAATGACAAGCTGTCAACATTCTCTCCGATTCTCTCTCATTTTTTATTTGCACAATAAATCGTAACACTTGTTGCGGATCATTCAAACATATTTGTGCATAAATTATAATTGATTCAATTAATTGAAATGCAAATGCGGGCTTCCCTCATAAACAATCTTTAATAAATTTGTGTTGAGCATTTTAATAAGGTAGGGTTGTGCTTTTCTATTTAACAAACATCAGTCGGTCAATTGTAAATTGTAATGCATTTCAAATGAGTTACAAGGTAGGGCCCGATTGATAAGGGTGTTGGCACTTGGGGGGCCCAAGGTCAGACCAAACCGGTTTCAATGTCCGATGAGCGCATTTGGTTTGAATATTAGACCATAAGGAAAGGTTTATTCGTTCAGAAGAGGAAACAAATAATTCGGGAATGTCTCGTCATCATTGAATACCTAGAACCTAGCGATGACGTAAGGGAACACCATATCCGGTGTTAACAATACAGGCTTTGCAACAACTTTTTGACCATGATTAATGCCCCAAACGCCCATGTACAAGTATATATGAGTATATGAGTGTGTGTGTGTGTGTGTGAAGACTGTAATGCAAAATGTACATATAGTAAATAAGTCATAGCTAAAGCACCTGATAACTTTGGAGACTTATCAAGCATTGTAAACCTGGCCAAAGATAAGATAAGATGGTTGTTGATCGCATGCGCAGCAACATCATGCCAGAGAAGCCGCGAAGACGCAAATACCAGGAGAAACCGAAACAGAAACAATTAGTAACCTATTTTGGAACTACAACGAGCATACAAACACATACAAGTACACCTGTTATCGGGCACTATAGACCGATGTGATAGATACCCAGTACCTGCACCAACCACACGGACACACACACAGGCTTATCTTATCGCTGGGGTGTGCTTTTGTGTGCTCAGATTGCAAAAGCTACGAATTCTTTTTTACTTATTTCATGCCTACGAGTATACAAACCGCTTGAGTGGTTTGTTTTAGCTCAGTTTACGGGTACGTTCAGTTTTCACATTCAGTTGAAGAGCGACAACGCAACGAATATTTTGTAGTTCCAACGCGTGGAAATTACAAGGCTTGTGGGTGATAATTCTATTGAACAATATTTTCACAATATTTTCAATAAATTCATTAATATTTTAGCGCACGAATATTCAAACGAAAGCCAACGAAGCCGAAACAAATTTACGAAAATGGTGTCTGTGGAAACAATTGGTTCGATTTTCATTAAAGCCCTTAAGCTGGTATGTGAATTTTAAAAATTTATATAAATATCTATGAGTGTGCTTCAGAGATCCAAGTTATCCGAATTAAAATATTTTCATTTCATACTTTGAAAATAATTGTTCAAGTGTTCGCGCAAGGCTTTTTGCTCTAAAAATTGAGTAATAGGCCCAGCTAGGCACAGCAACTAGCTGATAAGCGGCCGTTTTATCAGACCTACTCTACTCGCATTATAAATATTACTCATCCGCTCCGAAGCACAGAAATAAGTTCAAAATGGTTGCAAAATACGGGCAACAAGCATTCAATTGTTAAAGAGTATTGTGGCGCAATTATGTACGTTAAGGGCGTGGTTCGTGATTATGATACAAAATTCGTAGACTACTGCATGAATCAGCGAGCTTTTCTATTTCCAAGCATACGGTTGAGCATACTTGTACTAATGGAAATATGTTCTTTATCTCCATATCTCCATAGATCATCAACTTGGTCATCATATTCCTCTACCGTTGGGGCGATGGTGGCGAATTTTTGGGCATTGGCGGCACATGGAATTTAAATGAGGAGAAGAGCGCAGATGCGGAAATCGTTGCCTCCGGCGTCATGGTTGGTTTCTTCATCTATACGGCCAGTCACACAATTGCCTTTGCGTTCGGCACCACCAAGCACAAGGGGTAAGTTCGTTGGCCCACCACCATTTGAGCTAAAACCTGATCTACAACCTGACCTCTCTTAATCCCGCAGTGAACTCTGCGACACCATCATGAACGTGGTGGGCACATTTATGTGGATTGCTGTGGGAGGTGTGGGTCTACACTACTGGAAGGGCTACATGTCCGACGAGGGCTTCTTGTATGTGAACTCTGAGCGCCAGGTGGGCATTGCCATGGGCTCGTTGTGCGTCATCGAGGGTGCGCTCTATCTACTGGACACCGTGCTCGCCTGCATACATTATTCGAAGGGCGACACCGACTACACACAGTAATTCGAAATGGAGAAGCTGGATGCAGCGCGTCGCCCGAATAATTCTAATTTGTTTTTACATCTACAGCTAATTTTAAGTGTAAATTATGACTCGTCGTTCACTGTCACTGTTCACTGTGTAATTTGATTTAAGTTTTATATATTCCCATACATTCTTTAATTTGGCTCCACGCTCCTACTATATAACAATGGCAAATACAAATAGTTAAGATACAGCCAAGAGAGAGTTGATTAGTTTATGTTCGCTGGGTGATGTGAAATCTTCGAAATTTGCGCATATTGTACATTCACATAATTACGATTAGTCACTATGACGTCACTGGTGCGTCTGTTTACCAAAAAGTGGCATTCTTATTATTGTTTCAAGAGGTATTTCAACATTATATTTGCTTCAAAAGCCGTGAAGGAGTGCTCTATTAACCATATTAAGTATTTAGAATACGTGATAAGCTCTATAATTCTGTTCCCCTACGGATTCGAAGTATATTAAACTAGTTTGAACGACGGCCGACACTTTATTTTCAGTGATTTATAGATGCTTTGCATACAAATTCGTCAATACTTACTTAATCTTTGTATAGCATTGCTAGTGCAAAGCCTATCCATATATAAATCTTAGAAACGCTCACCATTGGAAATAGTGTCATTTATAAAGACTACAAAATTACTAACGTGCCCAACATTAAATTAAGGATTTATTACGAAAAAAAACGAAATGGCTAAAATTAGTGTTTGTTGGGAAATTTTGAGCGTATTTCGAAAACTGTTCTTCGTGAAATTTATTTTGTATTGATTCAATGATTGTCGGAAACGATAATTTCTTTGTCCCGTATTTCCGATGAGACATGCTTCCTTTCAATTCAATTATGCTTAGTCATAGCCCAAGTTCTTTTGATTGCAGTATCTGACTAAGATCATTAATGTGGCTCGCTAGGTACTATTCTACCGATATTGAGATAAATTCCCCCAAGAAAAAAGAGACGAAATAAAAATCGAAAAAGTTAACTCACCTGTCTTTTGGGTTTCCCGTGCCCGTCTACTGCATCCTGTTGCTTTCTCATGCTGTTATTTCTAGCGATTCGCTGGGCACAGAGGGTACATCGTCGAGCCACGGCTCCATTCTCCAGGTTGAGCCAATCAATGACGAAATTCTGGTCCTGAATGTATGAGTTGCGTGACCGCGCGTTTAATAATTCTAAGGTGCGTGAATCCAAACTGTCACGGTAAACATTCTGCACCCTGTCCAGATTGTGTTCGTAATCTGTTTCCAGATTATAACCACTGTTAAGGCTGGTGCGTGAAGCGAAGGGCCGTTCGATTAGGGAGCTAGTGCTGCGTTTGCGCCGCCGCACAACTGTCTTGGGCGTCGTTTCCGCCGATGCGGAATAGGAGGGCGAAGCAGGCGATTGTATCGCTCCATTGGCATCACCAAATAGCGAGATGGGGGACTGCATTGCAGTTGAAGGCAGTGGTAACTGAGGCGTTTGTGGTATCTGTGGCTCGGCCAGACTCATGGCTGACTGCTGGCGTTCCAGTTGCTTCTCATAGCCGTTAAACTTGTCGTAGTCAATGAAGGACATGTTTGCATAGCTGACCATATTATCGATAGCCTGCAAAGACTGGAGGGAGGCACTCCACTTGGGATTCAGCTTATCCTTCTTCTTCTCGCCCCCGTTTCCACCACTCAGACCGAAAGTGGTTTTAAATGAGGATATGAGCGTGCTGGAGCGACGTTTTTGGAAATTTAATTGCGGATTATAATTCAGTTCGTTCTTCGTCAGCGACACCAGCGAGGGCTTACGCTGCATGGGTGTCTCCTCCAGCGGCGTGGAGGTCAGTGGCTGTGCCGATTGGCGGCGAGCGGGTGTTATGTATTCGCGCTGCTTCTGATTTACCGAAGAGTCGGCGCGCCTGCGCAACTGAGGCGAGCAGTCATCGTCAACGTTGGCCAGCCTGACCGCTGATGAATGCTCAGCGGTCTCGGCTAGTGAATTCTTTCGCGGGGAAATGGGCTCACCGGCCTTTTCCGCCTCCTCGGACAGCTGCTCCAACTGGGGCTCGATAAAACTTCGCCTGTTCGGCCGGCGCAGCAATATCATGGAGCGACTTCTTGTAAATGTGAAAGGCGTCTTGAAGGTATTCTCCTCGTCCATTTTGGTCAGATTCTCCTTGCTGCCGGTAATGTGATTCATCAGCTTGGAGATTTTACCCCTCAGCGAGAAGCTATTAGCGCGCTCCATTTTGGGAACATTCTCGTAGCGAGGCAGCACATTGGGTGAGGATGAATTCATGAGAGCACGACGCTCCGCCTCGTAATGCTCTCGAAACTTTTGACTAATATTGTTGTTACTTGTATTGTTGTGGTTTTGTTCGTTATTATTGTTATTGTTGTTAATGGTATTTTGTTGACTGGCCGCCACTTTGGCTGCTGATTTTGCAGTTGGCGGAGATTTCACGTTTCCATTTTTAGTGCCATTTGTCAGTTGTTGCTGTTGTTGTTGTTTTTGCAGCTGCTTTTTATTAGCCTTTTGTGACTTTTTTTGTGCCTTTGCCGCACTTTTTGCCTCCTTGCTTGAATTCATCATGCGCGTGCGTTCAACTGTAAGAAAATAAAAACCAATTAAAAACGCGAAATATTCAAATAATTGTGCTATAGCCGACAAAATAAAATATTAACGTGAGAAGCGCTCTGTGTTACGAACATTATAGCATTTACAGCAGAAACATTAGATTTCTAGATGGCAGGCATACACAGGAACCATCGGGCTGTTTCAAAATTAAGTCGTCTCTTTTAACTTAGTCTTAAGATTTGGGATTACCCCATTTTAAAATTCGACTCAGTCATACGTTTCTAGGCCTGTTTCTCATATTTAAGGTAGGTAAGAAAAAAAGTTCGATCACGTGATACTACATTTTACTTATCACACAGATCACAGCTAATGAAAATATCAGGCTTTCTTCGTCTAGTTAATGATTACTACGAAAAAAAAACAAACAAAAGTGTTAGCTACGAAAAGATGTTTGTTTTTCGCTTGTATCGATAGCAACAGCATAGTAAAGAGCACTGATTAGTGTGGTTCCCAAAAAAAAAAAAAAAAATACCTGGTTTCCAATGAAAAAATTTCATCGGTTAAAGCGACACTTTATAAAACCCGAAAAACGAGGAACAAACAAACTAAGATGAACATGTATTGATTGTATTTCTCTCCTGGAAGCGATTCAAGTTCATTCTGAAGGATTTAAGATCTCGCTTTTAGGCATTTACCAATTCCTCTGACAGTTCACATTAATGTTAATTGCACTTTTTGGTGGAAACTGACAATATGACGAATATGTGGGGGCTACTGTATGCAAGAAAACACAACTGCCATTTTATCATCGTCAAAAAAGAAGCAACAAAAAAATGAGCCATTTCTTTTATTGATAAACTGGAAGAGGCGACACAATTGCTTAAGTACGAGTACACAAGTAAATACTAAGAGCTGGGCTACATGTGTTCATGACGGAACTAAATATCAACTATCTCTCTCTACACTCACACACACACACACAAACACACACAGTCGCGGAGACACTCACGCATATGGCATTAAGCGAACAGATACGGAATAAACAATTCCAATTCCAAAGATACATATGCGCGTGTTGGCACACAGTCCATCAACGCTTACTGCTTGCTTGCAGTTTGTGAGTCTCGTTCGATACAATTTCGATTTATGGCTTGGTTGGCAGCAGTCGGCCAGTAGCCCCGCCACCCAGAGATCGCCTACAAATTCAAATTCAAACAACACAACGTGACTAGGCCGACGAATTGACGAGTTGCAAAATGCTGTCGACTTTCAGCGATATCGGAAGGTAGGCAGAACAATGAAGCAGCCAGACTGTTATCACAGAGCCATTTTTATTTCTAGCGAAGCTCAAAAACAACAGTTAACAGTCTGTGATAAGATTTGAAAAAGCCCCATATATGCATATACTATACATACATACATACATACTACTACATACATACATACATATGTATACAGTGAAAACACTCTTAATGGATACCTCTCGTATCCGGACACCCCTCTTAGTTTCTAGAACATTCGTTCGATTTACTTAGTATTTTAGTATCCTCTCAAGCGGACACTCGCCTTGGATGGATGGAAAATGTTGGTCGACGGTGAGAGTTTTCACTGTATTTCCATGTGTTACTACTCATGTATTTAAATGGAAATACGCACTTGTCTGCGCACCAACGCGTAGGCCTTTTATCATATACATGTACCCGTACACATATACATATATATGTATATATAGCGCATCCCACCCAATGCAATCTAGCCGAGCAGACCTTAACGATTCCCCGATTCCCACAGAACAGAAGTATGTATACAATAGAATTGACATTGACAAAAGAATCATAATGATCAATATTCTTTACTTTTTTGAATGCACTAGATGGGTTCTTCTCAAATGGTTATTCCACTCAGTATCATTCTATGAAATAGCATCTAGCTTTGAGGGAAATTCCAATAAGCAGACTAGCTTGAATGGGCAGGAGTTATGGCCAGACAGGCAAATAAGCTGCATACTAATATATCAGATTTTACAAGTATGTGATAAATCAGTTCATTTGAAACTAACAAGAATTGTCTGTGAATTTTTTTTTTTTACAAAGAGCATCTTTGCGTTTTAAATGTTCAAATGATTTGCATGTGGGACCGGCGTTTGCAAATCCAAAGGCACTATGGACATCGGCTCATTCTATGGATTTAAGTAAATGCCACAACAGTTTGTTCCACATAAGCGGACAAACATCGTCGAAGTGTTTGTGTACAGTTTGTGGGGCGGATCCAAAAGAACGGTAGTTATAGTCGTCTTCAAAATTAAATCTACTGTGCATCGTAGATGTCTTTTTTTTGGCTCGAGTGAAGCATCGATAGACGCCTGGGTTTTGGAAACAGCAAAGACCTTATTGACCAAACTTGGCCAATAACTACATTATACTTAAGCCCTATTCTATTCATTAAATTTCATGCAAATCGCCGAATTATAAAAGTTATTATTAATTATAGAAGAAGTTTTTTTTAAGTAACAGGACATTTTACTGTCAGGCTGGCTCGACTGTAAACTCTCTCTTGAAAATGAAAACGTTGCTTTGGAAGGATCGTTATGTGGGGACTGTTCTACTGTGTCCTGGATCTTCACATCGTATGAAATGGGATCTTAAGCAGATCAAATGATAGCATAAAATTCTGATTTGAAACAAGGAATCATATAAATTCTGAATGGTTTCAATTTTAGTTTAAATTTTTTTCAATATAATAATTTTTTTATGCTAACTTTTTTAAATATATGTACGTATAGACGACACAGCTCGATCATCTGTTGGTCTCTTCTTCCATAAGAATATCGAGATTCTTTGAATACGAGTTGGCCCTCCCACTTCCCTTATCACTACGCTGTCAAAGTTCTTTAAAAAATATTAAGACATTAATGCAATTGGTTCAAATATAACTCAATTTTTCACTTATTATGATTATGTTTTTGTTGTACATTAAAACTCAAATATATAAAAATTTAATTTTATTGGCCATTTGATTTGAACAACTGATCGATGCTATCAATTGAAACATAATAATAATTTAGAACCTGAACGTGGTATATAATTCATGAAATCATCGTTATATTTCAACCAGTTGACTGGTGAGTGCGTGTATGATTTGTATTGACTTGCTTGATAGCACACACACACATACACACACGCACACTCACCGACTGAAGTGACGAAAACATCACTTGGCTATTATAGCAACAAGGGGCCTCCAGTGGCCGGCTTTACGGCTCCGTCACTTCAAACGCCAAGCCGTCGTCGTCCCCTAACGGCGCTCCCGCTTAACTATTCAGCAAGTACGTGCATGCGCTTAAACTTTTATTGACAATTCAAAAATCATTTATTTAACCGCTCTCTATGCATAATTGTTTGTTTGTTTGTTTGTTTGCTTTGCGTAAGTTGGCGCTGAGTACAGGGTGCTCGTTTCTAAAAATACTAATGACGCCTTACTGTCGTTTATCTCAAAACATGCACAAAACCTGATCGATCTGTGGTTATATTTTCGAATTATTGTGGTAGGTTCAGTGAAAAAAAGCCCAGTATTACTTGTTTTCAAGAATCTGTAAGCCAGGTTTAATGGGTCTAGCTATTATACAATTCAAGTTCAGACATGTCTCGAGAGACTCAGCTTTTCCCATCGATCGAAAATGTAACATCCTTTGAACGCTCAAGCACAGGGTAAATAAAATATTTCTAAAAATAGTAGCAACAGCAACGTGACGGTTTTTCGTTATTTGTGTAATATCCGATACTCTTTTCTAACATCAATATAATTAGGTTGTAAACATGGCAACCACATTCCCCTTTCTTTATATAGTAAGCCCATCTGACACACCTCGTTCAAAAGACCGATGAGGTCTTCTTTATTTTCTTGTCCCAGCACCATTCCAGCACAGACACACTTCAATCAGTGCTCAGAATATCAATGACAATGCGTCAAGTAGCTTGATACTAAATAGCAGCATTGGTGAAGGCTAAGGTTGAGGTTAGCCCCAAGCAACGTGTTTATAATTAGACAGATGCCGCATTCGCTGCATTAGCCCGCCGATGGACTCCGCAACTTGCGAACGGCAAGTCCACCTTTCCATAGTCGGTCCGATGGCTTGATTTGCTCTTTCATTTGTCTTCATTGAGTATCGATTTCGTTAACATTTGATTTCGTTACGCTTTCAGTTTCGCAGCCAGCCGCAGTAAAAAGTACCCATTTCTATCTTTGTGTGTGTATGTGTGTGTGTGTATGTGTGTGTGTGTGTGTGGTTGTGCGTAGGCCTACGTTAACCGGGTTGAGGTTATGAGCCGACCTGTCAATTAACTTGGTTCGCTTTTCCTTTTTGGCTCGCCTTTTCTCAACAGCTGTTTGCGTATTATTTTACAATTTGCTGTTCGCTTTATTTACCTGATTATTGTTGTTATTCGGAAACCTGTTTGCGGTTTTAATTGGCAGCCCCGCATTGTTGAAACTAAACCGAAATTATGAGCAAAAATCGGTTTCACACCACCAACAAATTGCAGTTTGAACCTAACGACTACTTTGAGTTTTGAATCATCGGTTGGGTTTCGGTTTATGGCCCGCGCAAATCGTTAAGTTTTTCTGCCCTGCCAAACGTGACAAACATTTACAAAAGCAATTTCATGTAGCTTAAGTCCAAAAGTACGCCCAAGTCACGATTTCTACCGAACCCCAAATTCCTGACATATGTACTATATAGTATGTACATTGTATGTACATGCATATGTAAGTTACTAAATAGCCGAAGGTGCTGTGTATTCATACTTTAGAGTCAATGTTGAACTTGTTAAATTTAATTTCCTTAGTTGTTGTTGTGTAGGTCAATGAAAAAAAAAAAATAAAAACACACTTTTAATTACTCCGACGTTGTTCTTACTAAATGGTTTTTTTATATTTACTTCGAAATCTTTGTTTTACCGAAAGTCGTCTGATCTAAACAAACCGTCTAAGCATATCTTTCGCAACTAAACAATATATGAATTAAGCCAATTTAGATAAGGTCTATCAGCATTAAGTTGTGTCAGGCATATATGCCTTATGCCTTACTCGTATGCACACAAATATAAGGTGGTGGGTTGCTTAACAGACTTTAAAAGACAACACTTATTTGCCAATTTGTCTAAATAAGTATATTAACAACTGTTTTATTTTTTATATAATTCAACATTAATTAGTGAGTATATTCCCATTAGGGAAAGTGATATTTTCATCGCCTGTTGAAATATTTGGGAATTAATACCGATTTTTCTACTTGAATTTAAGCTTCCATTTGCGATAAAAGATAATTGTTTTTTTTTTTTGCTCGATCTTTATGTATGTACCCCAAAGTTTCCATCTTATTTCTGGTGTTGAACTGCAAATTGAGGCTCATTTTTAAAAGTTATTTATCAGCAACACACCGCAATATCTTTTTGACATATTTCTGCTATTTTAAATAACTTGCTAAAAACGTATAATGTGTTCTATATTTTTAAGACCAATACGAAGTTTATTCTTTGAAATAATCTCCTGTTATTACAAACTAATTTGGGATTTACTTTTTAAAGCCAATTTGTAAAACAACAAATTGTATGTTCGAATTATTTGCATGCCAGTAGCTTAGCTCTCGTTATTTTACCTCGATATTTGCATAATGTACATACATATGTATACACTAAGTCCTAAATATTTTAAAAAGTGTCCCATTTGATGTTTGATGTACATTTATGTGCATGGCTAAATATTTGTAGAATGATTAGTTTTAACTAAAATTTGTAGGTACTCTAATATTCGCCTTAAACGCACAGACAGGCAAGTTGTAATGAGCATTTACCCTTCGAATCTTATCAGCTTTTAAGTTTGAGTTTTGAGTTTGTCGGGGCTGCTGTTGATTAACGTGCTCCTATTGTTGTATTGCAGCTGTTGTAGTCGTTTAGTTCCTCTGCCCTTTTCATATGTTTGTATTTTTAATTAGCATTCACATATTAGCGCGACGCTTGCGCTCTGACAACACCAAAACGTACACAAACACACACACTGTCATATGCGCGTACCGAGGCAGCAATAAAAACATATGCAAAAGTAGCGCGTGCTCACTGAATTTCGAATGGGTACCAACGAGGGAGGAAGCGAGACGGAACATTTGCAATAAGCGCGCCAACGGAAACCTTTGGACACGTGAATAACGTAAAACAAAATTTTTGTTAACACAATTTCATTTGTTGCACTTTGTGCTACGTGGATAAGACGAGGAACCCACTGAAAATTTCATACAAAAAAATACATGTACATAGTTAAAATATTAGTGGTTTTCCTGCAACGGCTTTTGAATTGTGCAAAATTACAGAGACTTTACAAATTATACAGTATGAGCATTGCATTATTAGGATGGCCGATCTCTCTGCATAAATTCAATTCCACCAAAGCATATTTCCAAAACATTGCATATTCGATATTTAGAGTGTTGCTGATTTATATATTGTACGTTGAGTTATTGCAAATCAAAATCTGTTGCAGGAATATCAATATTTTTCATATTTCAACTTCACATTTCGATGCGCCACTTGCGCAATTTGACAAGCTGTCAGCTGAGCCTGCACTCGTCAACAAAAACACACCCACACATGCACAAGCACACACGCACACACGAGCAAAACATGCGCTCTTTCTCTCTCTTGTTTATCTCTTTTGCTTGCTTTGGCAGCGATACGCCGAATGTTTTGCACGTTTCTAATTGGTTTCCGTTTATTTATTTTTTGCTAGTTAGCGACGCACAACGCTTCACATTTGGTTTCTAAAGTAGCCTTTTGTTTGCTTACTTTTGTGCAATAAATATATTTACGTGGTGCCTGCACTTGCCGGCATAGCTTTCTTCTGAATTTGGCTGCCACTTTTCGCTTCTGTGTTTACCCGGCCCGCGCGTCTGTCTAAGTCGTTAAATAACTTTATTTTAATAACTTTCCCACCTGTCCATTGCTTGATCGTGGGTCTTAATTTTTTAACATACGCGCCATTAAATGTAACTGCGAACAGTGCGAAAGGCGTTAAATATGCAAAACAATTCGAGTAATAAGTTTTCTAACAATTTTTTTGCGCACTGACACTACGAAAAGAACTCAGCGCGGACTGGCATTGAACTGATCATCAAACACGACCACCAGCTGCTACTGCCAGCAGTATTCAGGCCGGCAGCGCTCGCGCTCTCTTTGATTTGTGCATGTGTGCGGTTGCGTGTGTGTGTACGCTTGTTTTTGAAGGTGGCTCGTGAGCTTGAATTGCTAGTCGTTCAGCTGTGCGATAAATTGTCTTTATATCGAAATATCGATATTATGGCATTTATATTTTACGAAAAAATCGATCGTTATTTTATTGAATTGCTTTCAAATAACTCTATTGCTTTGCGAATAAAAAGTATTAGTATTACAGGAACTGAACACAAATATTATATGTAATTTTAAGCAACACAATTATTTGATTTGATGTAATTATAATTAATATAAGAGATATCCCTTTTGCCAACAAAACAAAGAAAATAAATATCCTATATGGGGATATTTTTTCAATATTGATGGAGTGTTTGTTTTCCTCTCTGTAAATAATTCGGTATTTATCACTTTTTTTTCATTTAGCATACAAATGATGTCATTGGCTTGTCCACTTCAGGTCGAAAAATTATGATCCAATTGTCCCTGAACTTAAAGTTGAGACAACAGAAATTGTATTCATACTTCTACACATCTATATAGATTTACATAAGTATGTGTACACTATTGTCGGTAAGCGTATTATTATGTATATGTGATTTGCCTCATTTAAATTAAATTGGCAAAACGCTGCTCCCGCTCGCAACAACGCTCAACAATTATTTTTAACCCTCTCATTTTCGTTTTGCTTATGTTCCGACTTCCACCGACCGTTGCTCTTAAGCGTATGACTCATAATTATACGAAGGTATGGAGGTATTAAAATAACCTAAATAGCGATAAAGCAACAACAAAGCTTGCAAAATTGCGGATTGGTTCCTAATTTAAAACGCTACTGATAAAAAGCCAAATACCTTTTAAACACTTAAAACGCAGTATACAGATACCTTTCCAACCGTACACATCTTGTTAAACATACATTAGTATACATGAAAATTTAATTTCTTGGGCTGAGCATGAACTTAAAAACTGAACTTAGCTATACTTATGTATACATGAACATTTAATTTCTTGGGCTGAGCATGAACTTAAATCCAATCAAAATGATTCATTATCTTATGGGAGAATTTAGGTTAGAAGCTCCAAAGCACTGTATACAAGTAATTCAGCTTTAATTCGAATTACGAGTATATAGAAACTGGAGTCATTAAAATTCGCCCTTGTTTAATTTACTTTAGGCAAACCTAAAATCATTCATTTCTACAAAGAAATGATTTAGTATTTAGAAGTCATCATTTGTTTTATTGCTCGGGTTGGTTTCAATGACCTCTATATACCAAGATCCCTAGACAACAATTTTGTAGTCGTGTTGTGGCCCTTTAAATTGATTATAAGATATTGACTCTATAAAATCGACAAAATCATCGAAGGAAAGTAAAAAACACAAGAATATATAAATAGTCATTGAAGAGCAATCCTTATATAGTACTTTAAAAAAATATATACTACAGTTATACAAATAATGATAAAGCTTAAAAAAAAATTGAATTAAATGTAAGCTACAAAGTGGCGTTAGTATTCGACTTAAACGACTTAACTGAGTTTATCTTATCATCTGCTGTGTAAGGCCATAAACGATTGTCATAATTAACGATAAGACGAAACACTTGGATATGAAATTAAAGTCGCCCAGATTAGGCATCAGTTGAAACATCGCTCTGGAAGCGATTCGATCAAAAATGTGTGAAAATAAATTTGTCTACACTGCAATTTGTTGCATATTGCTAATCTCTCTGATCAATTACAAATGCATGGTTTCTGCTTCAATAAACACCTCTGAGCCCAGCCCACTCCATAATGGGGAGCTTCATTCGGTTTGGAACCGCATTATTAATGGTGCTCGCGAATTTCAGTGGAGGGTGTCGCAACCGGAGCCTGAAAGTAGTGAGACGATTAAAAAGCGACAGGAGTTATGGCAACGTCTAACGATGGCAAACGTTCTATAGCACTGGGAACAACAAAGGAGAAAAGTTTCAAATCTTGACTAAATCAAAATATTCATATTATATTAAAAACGTTGTTTTAAACCAATAGTTGTAAAACATGCACATTTTAACTGTTGCAAGATTTTAAAAACAGTTTCCGTTTTGGAAAGAAAAAAATTGCGCATAACTTTTGGACGAAAGTTTATAATCTGAGAGCATTTCATTAAACTACTAGTAGTATTATTTGAACCAAATAGAAGCGGTTTATATAAGTATGTATACAATTTTGCACCGTTGACTGAAAGGCACGACTTTCCACACTGTGTGAATCGATTAAGACATGTCCGATAGAGAGACATGTCCGTTCGTCTGTCTGGATGAACGCTTAGATTAAAGAGCCGGGTGAGCCCATATTGATCAAACATTGTAGGCTCTTCTAGTCCCTATTATTTTTTTCTCCAACTCCCCAAATATACATAAAGCTACATAAACTAAACTTTGCATGCGTAATTAACATATAATTGTTGGCTTAAATTTCATAGAAATCTACTAATTCGAAGAAAAACTATTAGAGAAGCAATTTTATTTCAGTATTACGCCCACGCATATAATACAGCGGTGGTCGATTTTTTGAGTAAAGGGCATCTCACCGTTCCTACTACTATAAAACCTGCCTAACTGGTAGCAGCACTCCATTAAGCAAATCAAATATTTTTACAGAGAAAATGTTGCCTTGTCTTCAAATGGCCAATAAAAAAAGCCGAATTTTTATTTACTTGTATTTAGGCATCTTGGAAGCATTTAACGTATTTAGCTAGATCGCAATAGCCCGACTTTTGGTCCCAGAATAGTCCCTTAGGGCAGGTTGTGAGCACCGGTTTGCCAATAATGCAAATGTAGTACTTGCTACAGTCCTCCGGATGCGGCAGATAACTCTGTTTTTCCGATGGACATTTCAGTGAGTTTTCGTCTGCACGCGGCGTACTGTCAGCAGGACGGGATGTTGGCTTAATATGATCTTCTACTGGGGAGGTCGGCAGCGGACTTGTAATATATTGGGTCGAGCTTGTTGAAAGCGTCGTGCTATCGCTACCCACAATATAACAAACGGTCACTGGATTAACAGAAGTTGTCGTAGGCAGAGAAGCGACCGTGGGAGACACACCAATCTCGAGTGCTTCATCGTTATCGCCCTTGTCATTTATATTGGACCATTCACGGGAGTAGCACTCTGCCTCTTCGCTCAGCTGGCACTCGGAACTCTTGTAGTTCCATTGTGTGCCGCGACCACACTGATGGCGATGCAGATGGCCATAGGCGCATATAAAATACAGCTGGCAATTGCGCGGATGCGGCAAAAAGTAGGCGCCAAAGTGACGGCATTCGATATGATGCGGATCATACCTTTGCATAGGATCCACAGGCAGGCCACTGGCTACGTCGACGGCCATGAATACGGGCTGCGGCTTGTTGTGCTGCAAGCTTACATCTGTTGCTGCCGGAGTGAGAGCTCCCAGTTGGCAATTAGCCCGCTCTGGCAAATCGCATAAAGCGCGATCGGCATTGAAGTGCAGGCCTTCCTCACAATAGTGAAGAATTGGGACAACGGCGCATGCAAAGAATCCCTGACAGTCCGTAGGATGTGGCACCAACTCGCCATTTGCACGATCCACACACAGCTGAAATAAAATCAGCCATATTACGCGACCATTTATTAAAATTGGAATAAACACTTACATGGGACATGTCTGCAATTTCCATGGTGGTGCAAAAGCATGGGGAGAGGCAAAGACTTAAAATAAATGCCACATGGCAATTCATAATCATGTTCTTAAATAGTTAACTGTCTGTAGTTTGATTTTTGTGTCTCTTCGCAATTTGTAAATAATTATGAGCTGTCCCCGCTGTGCACAGGCTCTATATATATGCGCATATGTACCTACGGCTATGCGTATATTGTGTGCTAAATGGGGTTGGGTGTGGCATTGATGTCTCGAATTACGCGAACAATTATTGAAACATGAAATATTGTGTATTTCAACCGTCGTTCATCATTTGCGCATTACTTTAAAAACACTTTTTGGAAGTACTTCTCACGCAGCGCATTTTTTGATAACAACAAAGTGTTTAATGATTCAGCTCTGCGGTGCCTAGAATTTCGTTGCATATTTTTAGGCAGTGCATGAAAACACACTCATATTACTCATCCGCCATGTCGCCCAAAATCAGAAGAAATAAGGTTGTAATGTAACATGAGTTTTGTATGAAATGTGTTTCGGTTGGAGCCCGTTGTTCCCGTTTCATCCTGTCTCAGAAATATTTGCTTGTTTAAAACAAATGTAATTTCTATTAAAACAAACATCACCTACTAGTGAGGCTACTCTGAAAATTAATTAAAGAAATAGTAGTTTATTAATGAAAACCATTAAAAACAAACAATTCTACTCAAAAGATAATAAAGTCTTTAATTAGACAAGAATACGAAATCGGCTCGAAGCTTGATATTTTCAAATCGAACCGTCTTAACACTTTTATTGTATGGGGAGGGAAGGTTATAAATAAAGGCCTCAATTGTCTGCTTCTTATGGATGACCCAAATAAGGTGCATCGTGAGAGTTCACCTCAATATTATTACATTATTCAGCTCATCTGAATATTCTTTAGAAGAAAAATAAATTTTTAAATTTATAAAAGAGTTATATTTTTAATTAAAAATTACAACCCTAATTTCAAATTTCAAATGTGTGTGTGCGTGTGTGTGTGTGTGTGTGTACGTGTGTGTGTATGTGTGTGTAGTACAGATTTAAGCCAAAGCCCCAGAAACTATAAGAGTTGCTGGCAGGGCATGGCCAGAGACTACATTTACGGCTATAACTTCCTTTCAAACTGACCCATCATGATGAAGCTAAGGACAATGGCACATAAGTAACACCACATGTAGTTGCCCATTAAATTATGTTTAGTTAAAAATTCCAAGCGTTACGGCAGCTATAGAAAATCACTAGAAGCGGGGGTCTCAGCGGTGTATAAAAAGAAATATAAAATTGTTATTGTACTTTCTAATATCCTTTTCTTCATACAGACGGACAGACAGATGGGCGTACGAATAGATCAAGAATAAATGTACTTCGTCCAATAAACTAGTACACCCTTTTGCCATTCGGACACAAGTTATAAAAAAATTCACATATAATATATCTATAATAAACGATATATAAAATATGTTATGAGAATATAATGGGAAGATGGACTGCAAGTACTAAGGTATACGAGTAGAGCTTTTATTTATTTGCTTGTTAAATATACGGGTATAATAACCTGAGGCGTGAATCAAAGCCATGTCCCAAAAAAATTTTGAACTATAAATAACTGTCAATAATTATAAAATAATCCATTGCTACATTTCAGACACAATTACTGATTTTTGGAAGTATTTGATGAATTTACTAAGACAGGTTTATTTGTTTTTAAAAAGAAGCTTTTGCAAAGGTAGGTTGATGCCTTTTATTGTACTTTAGCAACAATTTTCTAAAGTTCAGGTCGGTTTTAAGTATTTACTTTCTCTGAGCTTGGTGTATTGAAACATAAATGGAAATTGTAGTAATCCTGATAGGAAAACATTTAATTTGCTTTTGCTTTGACTTTATTTAAATAAATTCAGTATTAAGCACTGACTTTCGCGTACTACAGTACTAACGAAACGTTTACTGACGGCCTCTTCAAAATCAATCGTCTGGTGTTGTGGCTTCTTCTTCTGCAACTGCTCCACTGCAAGCTCCGTTATCAGAAACATAGGTTTGTAGATTTTCATCTGAGGCACAGACTTGATATTTTTCATCGAAATAGGTGCCAGCAGGGCATGGTCCAGTGGGTGTTCCCACGCCATTCTTGCAATACAAGTACTCCCTGCAGGCAGTTTTGTCGACAGCATTCACGAAAGAGGTCGTTGCGTCTTGACATCTATTGCAACCTTCCGTGGCAACAGCAATTTGTCGCAAACGGCATGCCTCGGCTACTGTGTCATAGTATTGCCCAGTGGGGCAATAGTTGAGCACAAAAGTTTCACCATTACATACATAATAATAGCCGCACACATAGCTGTCACCTTTCTTTTCTCCCGAGGTATCACAAGAACCACCTCCTGAAGTCAAATCCTTATCTGTTACTCTACTGCAAACTGAATCACTGGTATAATCACATACTTGTTGCTGTACATTGAATGCCTAAAATTGGAAAAAAAACATCATCAACTAAATATGAATGAATAAGAAATAGTTACTGTTACTTACAATCTTGCTATCCTCAGTAGCTCCCGTCTCGCCATCGCTGCTATCACAAGAGCCAGTTATAAGTTCACCACTTGGCGAACAGTAATTCCATGTTGCACAATCAGCTGTGCTGCCGAAAAATATTGATGGAGGGACAACGCTGCACAAGTTCTGAAGATAAGTTCCTCCTATTTCATCGGAGCATTGGCCCGATTCACATGCCTGTGTCTGTCCATTGAATTTCGATCCACTTGGGCAAGTTCCTGTGCCGATTTCCTTTTCATCCTGACAGAACACATAACCCTTGCAATTTCCTTGAATTGGTAACCAATTGCTTCCCGTCTTGCCAGCGCAAGGATTGCCCACGCTGCCGACACCAACAGCGCAATTAACCTGAGATGACACGGCGCAGCGTTGATTGGCCAAATCGAATGAGAGTCCGGAACCGCAATTATAGGCCACGGGTCCGGTAGAAGAGCATTGATAGTATTTCTCACAGGATTCAAGGCTTCCCAGTCTGGTGCCGGTCTTAACCGAGGTGCAGAAGGCAGTAACGTTATAGTTGCCTTCAACGACATCGGCGCTTAGAGCTTTGGAAAGAACCAGACACAAAATGCAGGCCAAGAGGTGTATGCCTATAAATAAAGTACAAAATTTAATTCAAATTCGGATTTTTGGTGAACATCTGTAGCACTTACCTGCCATATTGAGTGAACTTCGAACGTAACTATATCTTCGCTTACCAAAAACTGAATGTTGAAAGTCTTCAGAGTAGATCGTCTTATATAGCTGTGGCTCAGTGCGTCAAAATATGATATCGAGATTATAAAAAGCACTGCTGTTACCTGAAGTAGATAAGCATTTGAACATGTTTTAATTTTATAAATATTTTACGAACATGATAACATCGTTATAAATGGAATTGAATTTATTGTTTCGTTAAAAAATGTTCCATGATAGTTATCTGCTGATCGTCACCCACTTCTGTCGTCACGTCAAAGCTTATAAAGAAGTCACTCCTTAATTCACGCCCTAGCTTTATTAAATAAATCCAAAATTTTCCAGTTGCCATTTTGTTTATTTTCGTTTAAAGTTTATTCGATTCAAATTCTTTCTCGTTTATCATAAATCACTATCATATTTTATATAATGCTGACCTCAAGCACCGTTCTTAACATGGAATTTGTACTTGATTTATATCAACGTTTTTATACTCTGTACACGCAATGTAACAATTATGTTTACGGGAAAACTCACATAGACACAAAATGTGCAGTTATACACCTTTTATGTTACTTCCATGAAGTTATAATTTGAAAAATTTTGTTTGTTTTTGTTTTATTACAATTTTGTTACTTTTTTCAATTTTCTTAATTATTAAAATTTTTGTAATTATTCTACACATATTTACAGAGTATTTCAAAGTCGCGACTTCAGCTTCTCCATTTGTTTTTAGTGTTCTTGTTTAAGAAGTCTTGCTTTTCTTATTTGCCAAACTAGAAGTGTTGTGCAAAGTCATATCTACTTGTATTTACAAAAGTCTAGAGCAATTTTATTATACATCCTATTGGCAATAGGTACAAAATATAAGATTATGTGAGTTAAGAAATAAATTTATTAATTTACCCGCCACTTTTTTGTGAATGGGAAGCATCTGCCTATCAGCAACACCAAATGCACTGTTTGAACAGAAGATTACAAAAAGGAGACTTAACAAAAGAGTTTTTCAATGCATTCATAGGTTTTCCAGTAAATTAGTATAGAAAATATATAGCAGAATACCATAAAGCGTTAAAAAGGAAATACGTGCATCCTATCCAATTGGCAATTTAAATATTACGTGAAAATATACCCAAATACCAAAATGCCCAACAAATTGATTTTTAAAACTATTGCTATACTACTAAGAAAAGTTTATGCTAAAATCCAAAGATAACCAGCAATGGTGCCGTTCCCGCCAATGCTTCAGACAACATGGCAAATATAAATACTACTATAAATACATTTTGTACGTTATTCCTTCCTAAATGTTTGTGTGTTTAGTTTGGGAGAAGAAAAAGTTGGGGCAAACCCCATGTTATTGGAAGATATATGGTCAGCATGACGATAAGCATGTCCGTACGTTAATCCATCTGTTGATCTCTATAAACATCACAGATTTTTTAACGGCATATAGCAGGTAGGGACAGCAATCTTAACTTGTTCTTAAGCACAGTAAGTTTATCAAAAATCATATTTAAATATCAGCCATGATTATTGGAAAAATATCGTACCAAAATTGTTTATTAATAAGTTTTGTATGGATCCTAATGATATGAAACAGGGACAGAGTATCAGGAGTCGAAATGATGCTACTTTAACTATTTAACTGTGGCTCATTACCGTGTCAAATGTTTTCTTTAATCTTTTTTATTAAATCTGGGCGACGAGCATAAAAACGGTTATGATTATAGCACAAGGCAGATACCCAATATTTTTGATAATGCGGCTGTCTTTAAACACTTGTTTCACTTTTTAATTACAATGGAAAGAGAACTGAAATTAACGTGTGTTTGTAAGTTAGTCATTATTTATCAAAGTCTTCTTTTAATTTTTTAATTACATAGTTCCAATTAAATATAATGGTGGACGTTTTATTATAGCAACAAAGACTTTGTGCGTGGATCTGCTAGCATTGCCTGAAACTAATTACATGATTGGGACTCATCTGATGAGACATTGCCTGATTAGGACTCATTCGATGTGGAGCTGTCGGCATCAGATTCGTAGGTGTATTGCATTTAGGCATCTTCATAGGGAGTACTACCAATGCCGCTTTTGCAATATAAATATTTTCTACAGGAAGCATGTGCGACAGCATTTACGAAAGTGTATTGACTGCAGCGTTTCATGGCAACTGCATTTTGGCGCAGATGCCATTTCTATGATGATCCGGAGTGAGTGCAGAATTTCTGACAGGATTCGTTACCCCCCGAAGGCTTCTGGTCTTAACCGACGTAACATTGACGAATCAAACGTCCAGAATGAATAAATATGTATATTTACCTGCCATAGTTAGTTCTTAAGAGCAACTTTCAGTTCAACTACCAAATAATATATATCTACTTTATGCAGAGTCGAACGCCTTATATAGCTGCCAGATTATGGAGGAGCGCTACTATTGGCTGGAATTGTTACGAGTATTGATAAGCTGATAAGCATATTTCACAAAAATGATTCCTAGAATTATTTTAATTTTATTCGAAAGCTGTTATCAACTTGATTTTCTTCTTTACTCCTTATCATCAGCTTGCCAAATAATCTTTTTTACAATCAATACTATACAGGCTTATCAATGATGGACGCAGCATTAGTATTAGTCCCAAAATCAAGCACTCGGCGGCCGCTAGATTGTGATCAAAAAAGACTTCACCAAACTTTAAATAGTCTGGGCTCATCGTTAAGTTGATAGGTTAATCGATTCGATTCAAAAAAATTGTACTTTTAGGAATAACAGAGTTTTAGTTTGTCTTGAAGTACAAAATAAAGCTCTGTGAATTGTTAAGAAAATTGTTAAAATTGTTATCTACTGAATCTTTAAGCTAGAGATTCGATTGTGTTTTCATTTGTAGATCAATCTCTTCAAACACAAAAAAAAACTACATACTTGTATTAATTAATTGATATGGAAAAGATTATTTCCTGTCTATATTTAAATCCCAATACATTGAATAATCACAAACATATTATTAAAGAATTTAAGTAAAAGTATTTATTAAATCCGTAGAATATACGGCAATCTCATTGTCTGATTGCTTTTATATTAATTGTTGTGATCGTGAAATAAAGGTTTGTACTTGTTGAATAAGTTATAATCTTGTTTGCATTTAGTGTAAGAAAGTGATGCAGCGTTGAATTGTAAGGCTTAGTTCTCTTGGAACGGCTATCAACCTTTCTATATACCCTTCACTTTATATATATTATAAGTAAACTTCAAACGTCTATAGTCACAGTCCATGTACTATATAACCTAATAGTGTAATCTTTTATGAGAAAGGAGAATCATCTGTGGTCACCATTTGCGACCCAGGAGTGATGCAATACATTAGTTATGATTACAACATTCTCCATATATCTCCATTGTTTCTTGGGTTCGCATATCTTCAAAAATAAACAAGTTGTTGACACAAAACTTGTCATTTAAATCATATCATTGCTATGACAGGTATATGTATAGGGATTTGGCATGGTCGATCACGACACATTATCTGCGTCAGTTAAAATGACGCCTCGCGGTAGACAATCAGTCAAACATGGTGATTTCGATTATATGTACGAGCAAGTTCCTAAGAATACAAAAAAAAAAAAAAACGATTACACTAGCTGCTTGCAAAGCACGGACAGCGATTACATTACCGGTTATAGCTAACTTGAAAGTTATGGTATTAAGATACAGCTCGGCAAATGGGTGAAGGAATGCGATTGAGATCCTTCAATATTCAACATTAAAGAAATGATTTGCTTTTCTGCCCATTCCCCTTTACCCAATAAGCTTGCTCCAATTTAAATGTTCACTCTTTTAATTTTAACTTAATTATTTTTTGAAGAAACTCCCTTTGCGACTTTGTAATTGCGCACACCCGTGTAAGTTTCCGAATTTTTTCATGTGCTCCCCATTAAGTGGGTACGGTTGCGATATTGAAGCAGAAAGTAAATTGAGGGTTGGTCAATTCACAAAGCCCGTCATTCTCATTGAAGAATGGGTGTCCAGTGGGACAGGTCTGTACAGAGCCAAATTGTACGCCATTTTTGCAGGTCAGATACGAGGTACAATTTGAACCGTAGGAATTTACGAATTGGCTTGTTGATCCCAGGCAGCGGTCACAATTGTTTTGGGCGCTCGCGCGTGTTATACACTTCTGGCTTACGGTATCGAAATAAAGCCCGGAGGCGCATGTATTTAGGACGTACACCTTAGATGATGAGCATGTGTAGTATTGGTTGCATGCTGATGCCGCAATCATGTCTCCGGCAGTTTTGCAATTAAATCCAGCATAATCAATGAGGCCAGCGGCATTTGTTACTTGGCTACATGTTGTGTCAACAGCATAGTCGCACGTTCCAGTAGCCACATTGAAGACAAAGCCCTTGGGGCATGTGCCATTTTTAAGAGTACCCTGATCACAATACAGCCAGTTGCTGCAGCTTGTGGGATTGCCAAAGAACACATCATTCGGAATGATGCTGCACAAGTTGATGGTCTCACCAGATGCGTCGCTCGCATCGGTCTCTGTCCAGGGACAGCTATAATCTGAGGCAAGGTCGCACGATTGCGTAGTTGGATTGAAGTTATCCCCAGTGGGACAGTAGCCCTGTAGTGGCCCGGAAGCGCTGCAGTACCAGAAAGAATTGCAGGAGTTTTGAACAGCCTGGTAGGTACCGACTACAGCGTTCTGGCAAGCACTCGATGCGGATGACGCTCCACAGATCGATTGCGCAGGCACACATGCTTGGCTGTCCTTGCTGAAACCATAGCCGGTGGGACACGAGTACAGCTGAGCCGTTGCACCCACACAGGTATAATAGCTATGGCAATCGGAGGGGCTCGCCACAAATGTGTCATGTTTCACCAGCAAACAGACATCGCTCATGTTCAGAGCACTAGTCGGCGTGATACTGCAACAGAGCAGCGCCGCTGTGGCGATAATTAATACTTGTGGTCCTCCTGGAAAAGGGAGACATATCAAATAAGATGTCCTTTGTTTACCATCAACGAAGCAAAGGCTTTCCACTCACTCCCCATTTTTACACTTTGTTCACGTTTATTAGAGCACTGATCGGCTAATATGGCAGCCTTCGCCTTTTTATACGCAAGTTCTATCGGTTTATCTATGCAAACCTATTCATCATTTCCATATGCCACAGCTGAACGATCGACTTGGGCAATGATTAATGGTATAATTCATTCTACTTGCATATTGGCATTTGGAAGGCTCGAAAAATATTTGCTTGTCTTTTACGCGATCGGGCATTATACCCTGTACCCAAACGTTAAAAAGGCATACTAGTTTGTATGTACTATGTACTGTATATGTATTATAAATATTGTCTATCCGTCTGCTATTATGCTAGAATAACCAAATTTGAAATTCACAAACCCCATTAACCCTAAGCTGCTCAAAAGGCATTGCTTTCCAGATACCGGATTTCGAAATCTGAAATTAGTGCAGATATTATTAAATTTTAATTTTGTATTTCCAAACATTCTCCAGCCATCATGAAATAGCGAATTGAACAAATGTCAAGGCTACCATATAATTTTATAATGGTCCTACCTAGGACAGATCTTAAATAAAGATTAAAGGCAGAAACAAATATATACACATACAAGTATTCTCCAGCCATAAAATAAATATTCCAATAGTTGTTATTTACAAAAGAAAACTTCAAAAGGACGCTTTTGTATTAGTTCCGTGCTCTTCAAAGGTAATCATAATTAGAAAAGAGAGTTTGCTTTATTTTGATAATTGTTATTAAAATAGTCCGTCTTTATTCTTTGGTTGACTGAATATATCTCCAATAAACATGTGCTTGGTGTGCCATTAGGAATTGGCCGCAGCTCTGGTTGTCTGCATGAAACAGGAGAACGATTAAATTATAGAATCGCGACTAATTGTGTGGAAATTAATTGCAGTCTAATCGGTTTCACAGCCTTTAATTAGTCGCGATTCTATAATTTGAATTTAATGCAATATTGATGACCCAATCAAACAATACTTGTATGTATTTGGCGGGCATAGAAATAACTCTTAAGCATTTGGTGCTTTTTTTTAAATTTACGATTATGCCTTAAAATTTAAAGGGAGCGATAACATATGTACTGTACAAGTAATATCTGTTCTAAGTAATTTATATTGTTATCTCCCTGCCTTATCAGTCAAGTGTAAAAATGATGTCAATCAAGTGGGAACCACACATTGATAGTTTAACAAATTTAAACGTAATTACTATACAATTTAATCGTCAGATATGCATGTAGAGAATACTTATTGTCAAAATTACGAGTGTAGCCTTAAAAGAAAGCACTCTCTACTGAAAAAAAAAGGAATAATAACGGTCATGAATTTCGAAATAATTTAAGTTACAAAAAAACTAACTAGTTTTCAAAAGTAAAACGATGATTATATATGTATTCTAAATTCTGTAAATTTCTGTGAAATACTATAGGTTTCCTCTGTTTATAAAAAAGGAGGAGGTTCTCAGTTCGTCTATATATTTTATGTAAGTAGATACATGCTTATTACTTTTCGTCTGTTATGCCTATAAATCCTTTAAACATGCATCAATTCTTGTAATTATTTCTTTGTTTTATTTATTATTATTATTTATTTATTTATTTATTTATTTTTATATTTGCTCCAAAGACTAAGAATCTATAATTACACTATTTATGCGATTGGGTATACTATAAATTATATATTTATATCTATATAACGAATAACTCAATATCACGCCGATTTCGATAATTCCTTTTTTTATTGGAGAGGATTTACTTTTAGTGTAAAGGAGGAAAAGGAGGACGTTCTCAATTCGGCCCTAATTTAAGAGCTTTCGACTGGGTGAACCGATGTTAATGATTCTGTTTTAATGATTTTATTTAATTTTTTTTTTACACACACATATAAAATATTAATGTACCATTACAGGGCATATTATCACTTTGTAGGCACACAAATGGTCAAATTTTCATCGATAATAAAAATTATGTATATACAGATGTATAGTTCCACGTATTAAATAAGCTGGCTTTATACATCAACTAATAAAACAAAGCCTTTTAAATTGATGGCCTTTTTGCGAAAGAGAAATTTTTGGGCGTGCATGCGCCTTTTTATCTAATGTCGGAGTTCCGCATTGAAACCATTGATAAAATATATATCCAAATTTAACAACTGACTTCATTTTTTGTGTGTTCAAAATGTGTATTCTATCAACAATCTGATATTTAATGGCAGTAGTAGTGGGTCTGCCTTGGCCAGTTGAGGTCGTCTTCGTCTTCGTCTTCCTCACAGCTCATATGGTCGACGGTTGGGAGCCTCCACACGTCTCCAAAGTGATCTGCAATGAGTGCGTATTTAGTGGAAGTTATGAGTAGAACGGGTAAAGAGTAATGAAGCTAACCTCCACTTCCTCAGTGAACAACTTGCGCATTTCGTTAGTCCTTTTGTACGGACTGGGCTTGACTGTGGTGAGCGGAACTTTCGATCCGCAAGTTATTTGCACATTGTTGGCAAATGGTACGAAAATCAACGATCCCCGTGCGTGCAATGCATGGATAGTGTGCGTCGATGGTGAGCCTATTGGTGGCACTTGCGGAACCGATCTTTTCTACGACAGAGAGAGCGAGGAGTGTGTACCATCCAGCAATATCACGTGCATATCGAGCAACCCATGCGCTGCCGTCCAGAATGGCTTTGTGGCGGATCCCTATTCCTGCAGCGACTATTACTACTGCTTGAATGGGAATGGCACGCATGGACAATGCAACTCGGGCATGAATTACAACCCCGGCACAGAGGACTGCATACGGAACTTTACCTGCACGCAGACCATGCTGCCAGATAGCTACTGCAATATTCTGCCCGATGGTGTGTTTATCAAGGATCCAACGAGCTGCAACGGCTATCAGATGTGCTGGCAGGGTGTAGTCATCAATGGCACCTGCCCAGACACATTCTACTTTAGTGCCGCGAATGGCGAATGCGAATATCCGCAGAATGTGACATGCGCCATCACAGAGGAGCCGCTTATTGCGAAATCGGGCGAGTGCTCGTCAGCCGGCCAGTTCGTGTCCGATGGGAGCACCTGCAACGGCTATTACTACTGCCAACAATTGGATAATGGGGAAATGGAGCTGGTGCACGGTGAATGTGCCTCGGCCTATTTCTTCAGTGCGGCCGATGGCGGAGCATGTGTGCCGCGCTCTCAGATCCATTGCGACTACGATCGTTGCGCCGGTCTCGGGGAAACTAACATTCAATTGGCGAATGAATCGGACGATGATTGCACGGGCTACGCCATTTGCCAGAGTGGAGTCAGCATCGGCAGCGGTCTTTGTCCCAGCGACGAGTATTTCGATGAGCTGACTCAGCGCTGCACGACACAACTGATATCTTATCCAGCCTGCGCCCTATCAGCGGCAAGTAGTACGAGTACGCCCCAAGGCGAGCAGCAGACCGTAACAATGATTAATGACGACACAAGCAGCGACACCTCTGCCACAATATCTTAATCTGATAAGAACACTTTTTCAATTGCATATATGTATACTATATTATTGTGATCCGATCGATTCTTATACTATTGTGATAGTCACCATGAGTTCATTGCAATGCTCTCTTTTCAGCTACATTTTAATGGAACTAATAATGCAACAGATCAAATTTAGCCAGTTAATCCGATTATTTTTTTATACCCTGTGCCAAAAGGGTGAAAAGGGTATATAGGGTTTGTGCAAAATGTGTAACAAGGAGAAGGAAGCATACTCGTATAGTATTCTGAATAAGCATGATAAGAGAAATCAAACTAGACATGTCTGTCTGCCCGTCTGTCCGTCCGTTTGTCCGTCCGTTTGTCCGTCTGTCCGTCTGTCTGATTGAACGGCTAGATTTAGGAATCGCCTGAGCCCACGTTGACCAAACTTGATATTCTTAACCCAAGGAAATACGAGTCTATATTTTTTTTCCTTTTTCCCTCGCCTCTTTAAGCAAACATTTCACACATAATATATTTATAATTCTCTACTTATGTTCTAAATTGCGGTTAATTCTACAAACAGTTTTTAATTTCACTTCGGTACTGCCCTCACAAACTGCAGTAGGGCGTTCGCTCTTCTTCTTCTTCTTTTTGCTTCTGCTATAGGCGCATAGACCTTTTTTTTTGGATATAGGATGTTTCACTGTCGGTTTTGGTCGACATAATTTTATTTACTCGATGGTCCCAAAATTCATTTTGAATGAGCTTTGAAATTGTTCTCAAAACACATCTTTAATTAATAAAAATCCATAAAAATAAATCGTCTGTTTACCATAACAGAAATGGGGTAAGGAATTACTCATTACATCATTTTTAATAATTTTAAATTAAGTTTCAATTTAAGTTTTGGCAATCTTTCGTCATGCACTCGTACGTATGTAAATATCTACCTTTCCTACAAAAAACTAAATCAATAGAACTCCTACATGCACCTTGAGCTAGAAATAAGGAATGCAAAAACATTCTCTCTAAATCAATTACAGAGCAAGCCTCTTGAGTCCAATTCAGATACACCTTTCGGCATATTAGATGCAGTTCGCTTATATACTGCCAAATAACTTATAATTTAATAATAAATAAATAAACGTATTATTACGTCTACTTAGTTAGGGAAATAAATGATAAGAAAATCGAAGCTAATTAATACAAAATTGTTTACTATTTTAAGGCATGATGTGTGCGACTCTAGAGGTATATTTTCTCCCTTGCATGAATCATTCAAATATTGTTTTTATACGAGTATGTCATGCCAAGTTATCAACACACGGTAGTACAAGTATGTGCAGTGTACACGAACAAGCCCCCTCTTAATAGGAATTAAGCTCTATGTAATAGTTCTATTAATGGGTATATGGTCGATTTGCCTTTAGCAACCGATGATAACGTGCTAAGAATTTATTTATAAAACAACATAATAGAGTAAGGTCTTCGTTTAGATTAGTGCGGACTCTGTCCACATTTCCTTGGCATGTATTGATTTGGAGTTGAAAATTCGATGCGGACCGATCACCATTGCTGTTAATCATTTGATAATAAATTGAAATAAATTTGATGGAATGCTCGATAATTAGTCTGCAAAGAACATTTCTGAATGGATGGTAACAACTATCTTCATAAAAATATAATTTTTTTTTATTCTTTAAGCAATCCAGATGATTTGCAGTATTTTTAATTTGTTTGTTTCTATCCAGAACATCATCATACTTGTAGTGCTTGTCAAATGATCGAAAATAATAATCTCATGTTCCCAAATTGCGACGTTAGAGTATATTGAACGTATGTTTGGGTCGATCAGAAGAACTTACGCATGAATAAAATAGTTCTTCTTATCTCACTGATATTCTAGCTTTGGCGATTTCCTTGAAATTCATTGAAGACACGGCTTTATTATTAAAGGCGAAACATCTCTGATAATTCATCGTTGGCAATTGTGACAAATGGCGGGAAAATGACACGCCATTGCCACAGTACTTAGCAGCCACAAAAATAAGATAATAACAACGTGTGCGGACATGATTGATATTTTCGCACAACCAACACAGACCCTAAAATACACCTAAACTAAGATAACAATTAAACAAACAAAAACTAAGTACATACCTTTGAATCGCAGCGGAGCTTCCAAATGTATTACTTCTAATGTATAGATATATCGTTCGTTCTAAGAACTCTTAAGACCGTGGATCGTTAAATACCCAACTAAGTAAACGTTTGATTAAGTCATTGTTGCCGATCGATTGAGTGATTATCTTCTATTTGAAGAATTTATATCGATTCAAGAGCTTCTACTTTGAGAAAATTCGTTGGATAGATAGAAAGCAAAAATACTTTTAATTCAACATTTACCAAAATTTGGAAAATTTTTTATTGCAATTCATTGTTGAAGGCCCTACCGGTCCGCTAGGCGGCGCAGGCTGGATAGTTGAAGTTGGTTGGCGTACATCCCTGGCTGTACTCATCGAAATAGTAGTCGGTGGGGCAGCGACTTGTGCCAACAGTAACGCCATTGGAGCAGCGTGCATAGCTCTGACAATCACCGGCCACATTGACGAAGTTCAGGGAAGTGCCGACGCAACGATCCTTCAGACACTTAACATTCAAACGATCGCGGCACGAGAGCTTCTCAATGTCAAAGAACTGGCCGATGGGGCATTCCAAGTGTTGGGGGTTCGTGTCGTGTCTGCCGTTAGCGAGGCTTGCACAGATGTAATAATGGCTGCAGGACTCGTCATCCTCGAAATAGCCGACGCGCGGCTGACCCGTACTGTTGTCCAGACAGAAGGTGTTCTCCGGGGGTGGTAGCTCAGCCGTTTCATAGCACTGAACCTCTGATAAAAGCACACAACGACCTTTGGCGACATCGTAGGCCATCGAGGCGTTGCACTCCTGCTCATACAGCACTTCGTTTGTGCAGATATAGTACTTGGAGCACAGCTTGTCGTCGGCAAGGCGTGTGTTGTTCGGCAGGGCGCGGCAAGCTGGCGACGATGTCTTGCTCTCGACGGCGGGACATTTATACTGATCAGGGTAGACGCAGGAGTGCGTTGTGGGATGGAAGACTAGATTGTTGGGGCAAGTGGCAAACACTTCCATATGCGATTTACACAGAATGTAGCCGCGACAGTTCGATGGATCGGGCAGGAAGGTGCCGTCGTTCTCCACCGCACATGGATGTGTGCTCTCAGCGGTCTCCGTGTAGGGGCAGTGCATATTCTCGGCCTGGCTGCAACGACCCAGCTCCTTATTGTAGTAGAGGCCTGTAGCGCAGGAGCCCTCCTCAAAGTGTCCGCTAATGGAACCACAACGCACCCAACTGTTACAGGTATTCGGACGCAAGAAGCTCGTATCCTGCGGCAGAAGTGCACACATGTCGCTGTCGTTGAGACGCTCGAAATCCTCGATGGGATTGATGCTTTGGGCTCTAGTGGCCAAGCCGACCGCCCAGACCAATGCGAGCAGCGCAAAAGCTGCAAGAGAGCAGAGATTTAGCCTAAGTGCTAATCCAAACAATATCCTTTACGAATTCTTCGCTTACCTTGCTTCATTTTTCGCTCTTTAGTGTTTGATGGTCGATTTTGAAAATAAAAATGGCACTACTTTTCGCTGGCGTTAGTTTTCTCGTTGCCAAACTTCTACTGTAGCGATGCCGGCTTGCCAGAGTCTTTAAATATGGAAAAAGCCAGAATACGAACTCGTCGATAAAAACAATTTTGAAATGCAGTATCTATATATACATACATATGTGTATATTTATCAGAGAGCAAAATAATAGATAAACGCGTAGCATGTAAATTACACACCAATAACATGTCATACCCGCATTGCTATTTTAGTGTGGAGGCTACAATCTTTCAAGACGATAGCAAAATTGAGCATGTTGCGTTTCCAACGAAGCGATATAAGTTAATAGTATTCTCCGGAAAGTTATAAGCAATAGCAGTAGAGTTGTCAGCATTCAAATCGTCGCTAACGAGTTTTCCAGCTATCTGAGAATGCAAACGGCAAATCTTTACAAGCACTTCAAATTTGATTCCTTACTTATCGAGACTTACCTTGTCCGTAAAGAGCATTTCAACTAAGCGATATATACAAGTATTTAGCAGAATTCTGAAAAACGCAATGAACGAATTGTTGTTCCATTGTATCTGAATTTAAAATCTGTCCTTAAGTTTAATGAAAGCCTTCAACATAAAAAATGATTCATTTGAGCAATGTTTGTAGAGTGGGAAATAAAGACATTGACAATTTTTAGGTATTCAAAATATTATTAGTATTACATATGTGTAGTACACTAGGTTAAGTTAGTTTATGAGAAAATCTAGGTATTGTGGTTGGTGCTTCTTTAAACTCTGCGTCTGTTGTGAATTTTTGCAGACAGTTGCAATGCCCAGGTGCGGGTGTATGCAGAAGTTGTGCCTGTCTGTCCATTATAGTTAGTGCCATATGTTCATTCTATCTTTAAAATTAACTTTGTACAGCAGCAGTTGCCATGCCCAACTTTGAGGAGCAGCACAAATCAATGAATAAAAGCTTAAATTTTTTGAACTATGTACTCCTATTGCATATACATATTTAGTATGTATAAATACATAGATAACATACTAATATTCCTTTATTCTTTGACCTAATCTGTTGTCACTCAACAGATCAACTATTTGTCTCTTTTTTGTATGTGCCGATTAAAGATGACCCCAAAAATTCCATCGCCTTTCGTTGCTTCAATATTTTTCTGTTAAAATCAAAAATAAGTAACGTAAATTTTTTTAACGTATCGAATTACTTCTTGAAATATGAATAATATTTGAAGCAAATATCAAATCACTGACATTACTTCAAATAACAAATACTTCATATTTGAATATTAATTAAAGGCTTTTAATATCTTTAATGGCAATATTGACCATTGAAAATAAAATAGCTGCAGCACGTGTTAATGAGGAAATTAGTTCCTTTTAATATTATAAGCTCCAAAATTAAAGAATATTCGTATGTAGGAACTTAAAAAAAAAAGTACTGACACGATTCGAGCGAAAGGAGCTTTTGTTTCCCGTTCAGATGAAGGGCAGATAATTGAAAAAGTATGCCTAAACAAATCAATAAATATATAAAAATGCAAATGTCAAATAAAACAAGAATAAAATGATTGATTGATGCTTTTTATAGATTTTATAGACCTTTGAAGTCAAATGTTGCAAACACGCCTCCACACTGTACAAGTATGTATGAATTCAACGTCAACTATAGTATAGTACTCGTAGTAAGTAGTTATAACTAATTGCAATACCGTTAAAAATTTCGATTTCTAAATTTAATATACAAGTGTGTCATTGATTTAGCAGCCCAAAGAGTTTTTATCAATAAATTTATTTGTCAATTTTAATTAATTGAAGAGTTTGATAAAGTGTGCAACTTTTTGCGGGCCAGATAGCGATATTTCGGATGCTTCCAAACACACTGATCGATGACGCTTGTCAGAATTCTTGTTGCTGAAAATACCTTTGTGGCCAAGTGTCTTTCCAATTTGGTAGTCAAGTCCGAAGTGCGCCGTGAAGTGACTGCTCTTTTCAAAAGACCCATTTGTAGGTTTAGGCCTGCATTAAATCCCACTCTTGCTCTCCCTGCTCTTCGCAATATACTTGTTGTATTTTCACAGTTTTTCACACTTTCTGCCCAGCTAAGTGACCGCTTCGTATGAGATCAGAAGAACATACCCAGTGAAAAGAAAATACAAATGTCAATTTGTTATTGCCTGTTCAAAATAACAATATCAAATGGTTCATATCAATGTGATGCCATTAAATTTTCTGCGATATGAAAAAGTTAAAATTTGATATGAATACATATCGAAACCATATCAATCATTGTTTCGTTTAAAACTTAAAGTCAAACACTAACGGACAGAAAATGACGCAGAAATAAAGCTGTGAGAGCAAGAGACAGAAAAACGTTGGCAGCTTCTGTTGCCGATGGATGGATGTGTAAATTAAAATAATTAAAGTGAAAATATATTTCAGTCGAAGAAGACTGGGTATTCAATTTATACAACATAATAATAATAATAATATCAATGTCTGCTCTCTCCCTCCGCTTCTTGACACATCTGAGACAAATGGAAATTGCATTATCTATGTGTATCTCTTTTCTAAAAACCAGAACCAATTCCTAGAAGAAGAAAGTAAATATTTAAAAAAAATCGACCTAAATAAGAAAGGAGACTTTTTTTAAAGAGATTATAAAGAGCAACTTTCACAACATTTCACAAAAATGCATTCATTTATTTCGTTCGGTTTTTTGAATATAAATCTATCGATAAGATCAGCTTTCATTTCCGTAATCATCCCCATGCTGACAGAAATGGCTGACACAATCCATTAAATAGTAATACTCGTAGACGATCGAAAATTAAAGGTGCTCGAGATTTCTGAAAATTAAATTTATTTTCACTCCAAAAAGATTTGTTTACTTACTTGTGCCAATTGATTATAGCCCATACCTCATATTATATCAAACTTAATTGGATCAATGTTTCTGGATTTTAGATATTCGCTATGGAGGAAACTGGAGGAAACTGTGGTGGCAGATTTTGACAAAGAATCCGCTATAGTCATATCGACTTAACATGCCGCCTTCCGAAAGCTACAAATACCAGGCCACATGCAACGGTGTTTTGCATGGACCTGGAATATAATTTAGCAATGCCTATAACATTAGTACATACTTGTATGTACATATGTAAGGAATAATGCAATTGAGCTCTTTGGTAGGTTCAATACATTTTATTGCAAGTTCAAAATAATTTGTAGATGTGTTTCATACTTGTTATGTCAATTAAGATGTACCACAAATTGCATAACTCGGTTTATTTTGTACACAATTGCCCCCTACTTCATCAAAGTATGGGTAGTTAGAGGGGCATGTTCCAACACCTAAATTCGGGCAATATGTATATTGTTTGCAGCTTGTGCCTGTCACAGTGGCATAGACCATATTGGTGTTCTTGCAACGGTTACGAGTGGCCGCGCATGCATAACTGGCCGGGGACACACATTCTTGAGAGGTTGGATCAAAATCTAATCCAAAAGGACATTTACCCCATTTCGAATTCCCTGAAGCTGCTGCGCAATAAGCATAACCATAACAGGTTACACCATCGTCTTTGTATCCTTCTGCTGTGCAAGTTACTGGTGCTGGTGTCGTTGTTTCATCATCAGTATCGTCATCACCTGCATTGCCAGAGTCTCCGCAAACTGAAGGATAGGTCGTCGTGCAACCACCGAGCGTATAATCGAAATATCTTGTTTGCCCGCTATCTGATGCGGTACAAGTACCAGCTATTCCAATGCCATTCGAACAAAGTAGATAGCCGCCACAATTAGCTGGATCGCCCACATATTGGTTGTTTGGAATGAAGGCGCAGATGTCGTCTTGCGGGCAAGGTCCCCACACACAGGTGGGTTGGGGGGAATTCAAAAATACCTGACCTTTCGGGCATTCGCCATATAGAATGGTGCCTTGCCCATTACAATAAGCATACTGTGAACAATTGCTGGTAACTGGTGCATACCAGGCGCTACTTGAAATGCTGCACGATTCGGTAATATTGGTATAGCATGTCGTGTTCGTGGCATACTCACACATACTTGTCGGGGAATTGAACACAAGGGTACCGTCGCAACTGCCCCAGGCCACAAGACTGTTGCCTTGACAGTAGCCCCAGTCATGACAGTTACTGGGATTTCCCACATATCCATTTCCATTCCAGTACTTGCACAGATCTTCCATTTCCAAGGCGTATGCATGGGGCAACAATGCTCCGCATATGACCAGGACGAGGCTGGCCGTAAATTTGAAAGCTGCAAAGAACGCATATGATGGCTATTAGTACTGGCTGAATGATTAAGACGGATCCTGTCGTTGCTGTTGTTGTTGTTGTTGCTGCTGCTGGTATTGGTGTAATCCGAATGTGTATCTTGATCCTACCTGCCATATTTGAACCTATCACTCTAAACGCAATATTTAATATGCCTTGAAGAGTTACGCTCGAAATTCTTACTAGAAAAACAAGTGCTGAGCATTGGGTTTTTATAGCGATCAGGGTCTTCTCTTCGTAATACGCACGTTGACAGCTTTTAATTAACTGCTAGGCCAACATGTAGCGCCATAGATAAACTCGTAACATATTTTTCTAATTGAACGTTTGGCTGCTTAGCCACTCTTGATAAGTAATTACACATCAAGCAGTATTTCAAACACACACCTTGCACTTCCTTCATTATTCCCTTTGTGACTTTTATTCCAGTTCTTCACTAGTGGCCGCTCAAATAATACTGCCAGTACTCCGGCATTTGGGCAGCTATTTAAGCTTCTCACTGACCGTTCTTCTATCAATTATTCACAGTCACAGTTTTTTTTTTTTAACATTGATAAATTCATATTCTATATGAGGTGAAAACAAAAATTCTCTTGGATTATCAAACACTGATTAGGAGAACTTTTATTTAATGGACATTTAATTCAAAGACATGACAATTGCACTTGCCGATGTCATCGCTGTCGACCAAATGCGTAATTCCTCGCATAAAAATAACTCGACGACACTGCCGCCTCTGTTGAAAGCCAAATGCAAGCCATTAGTTAGGCCTCGGCAAGCACTCTATCATGCTAGAAGTTGTGATTTGTTGGGCTTCTTTTTCAAGACATATCATTTTGCCGTGCTCACCATTTATACATAGCTAATCGATTAATTTGCTAACACAGTTATTCACAAGATAAGGCATTAACATTTCTATGAGTATTACGATAGCTATTCAACAGCCCTCTAACTACACTGTGCTACACAAATTCTATAATGGCAATTGCTTACGACAGATTCATAAACTCATTTTAAAGTTGTATTTAACATTAATAAATAGATTCCTTTTTTGAAATGCCACATCAACTTTCAGCGAATGAAGTTAATTGCCATGGCAGTTGGAATATATTCATGATACAAGAATTAAACTAAATTATAAATTACATCATATTACTTGTAAGTATGGTAAAAATTAAATAAATATTTCTTATTTGAACGCCAGTAAGCCTCAGTGCTATTAAAAATAACAATAGATTATACTTTGGATGCAGCTGTTGAGTAGAATAGCCTCAAAAGTTAATTTTGAAAAGATTTCAGATTTCTCAATGGTGTTTAGTAAAATGGACAAATCAAAAAGATGTCATTGAAATAAGTTGAAATACTTGTAGTATTTTTGGCATGGAAACGTCAAATTAGTAATTATTGTTTTTTGATTTAGGAATTATTTTGCTTCTAAACGAACTTATAAATATTACTCACTCCTAAGATTTTATTGTATTTATCAGTAACACGCTTCAATAAAAAAAAAAAACATCATCCACTCGGTTGTTGCTGTTTCTATGACACAGTATCCGGCTATCTACAACTAATGATAATTTGATGTATCGACGTATTTCGGCAATTCGAATGGGTACTCGTAGCTTTGTTTCGTGCTTACAGGTTTCAAAAATTAAGACGATATAGTGTTGACGGACCCCATATTTAGTAGTCTTAAATCATCTCATATAATTATATGAAAGCTTCATGGCTCTGTTATTCGATTAGCTATAGAATTTCATATTACTTTTAGTATAATTAAGTACTTTGTCTTTTTGCCACGAAAAATAAAACACCATGAGTCAATTGAGCCGCGTATAAAATGGAGGCTCTGTGCTCGATTAGAAAACGCTCCATTTTATCCAATTTAATACATGAAATTAATGAGCCCAAATTTTTATGCAGAAATGCCAACTACGAAACAGCTTACAAATATAAGCACTGCCTAAAAGTATGCAATGCAATCCAATTCCCAATGTTCTTCATACGCAATGTAGGCAGCAGGCGGACACTTAAGGAAAATGAAAAACTCCTCAGTTCTTTGGTGGTTTCAATACAGTATTAGCAATCTATTGAGTCGCAGAAAGATTCTTTAGGAGGCTGTTGTTTATAATGCTTCTGTCATCAGCAATCCGTTAACTGGGCACGATGTTGCCCTTCATTATAAGCTGATTATAAATGATGTAAACTCGTTTTATGAATAATGCCCCTTCTTGACCCACTTAGAACTTTTTACCATTACTCTTTTGTAGATTCATAACTGAATAGGCCTTCTGCAATAAATTTGTTGTTTTTTTTTCGTGTTCACGTTGATTTTTCAAACGATCTCTTCTTTTTATACCCTGTACCCGTAGGGTAAAAAGGGTATATTAGGTTTGTGCAAAGTATGTAACATGCAGAAGGAAGCATCTCCGACCCCATAAAGTATATATATTCTGAATCAGCATGACGAAAGAAATCGATCTAGACATGTCCGTCCGTCCGTCCGTCTGTCCGTCTGTCCGTCTGGATGAACGCGAGGATCTCAGAAACTATAAAAGCTAGAATAACCAAAGTTGGCATCCAGATTCTCCTAGGTCCGAGAAAGGACGAGTTTATTTTTTTTTTTGGAATTTTCCCCCCCTTTCCCCGCTACAGAATTTCGTCAATAGCGTCCACATTTCAAATGCTACCTAAACCAAACTTTGCACACATAATATATATATAATTGTCTACTGTTGTTCAAAATTTTATTCAATTCGGTCAATTCTAAGTAAAAGTTATTAGCCAAACAAATTCTCGCCAGTACAACCTCCCCAAACTGCAGCAACAAGTTCGCTCTTTTTCTTCCTCTTTTTGCTGCTGCTATGGGTGCATATAACTCAGTGACGGAAGTTTACCTGGGTACAGGGTATTACACTGTCGGGCTTGCTCGACTGTAGCGTTCTCTCTTGTTAATACCATATTAGTAGTGCGAATCGGTAGACTTATGATTACATTTGGCGTTATGGGCTCTTGGCAAATGAAAATCCCCCAACGTATAATTGGCGTTATTAGAATATAATTTATTTTGTTAAAATATTTGTTTATTATTTTAGCTCTGTTCACAGGCCATATTTGTCAACTTAACAAATATTTAAATATCCATTCATTAATATGCAAACTTGCAAATGGACAAACGAGCTGAAGGGCTAGTCTGGCAATAATGTTTAAGAATACATTTTTTTCATTTCGTTGTCTGCTGCATGTTCTATACGTACCTATAAACGACCTCTACAATAAAACAGATTACATAGGATTTCTTTTCCTAGCAAAAAACTGTCGCTCACAATCTTTCACAATGAATAATATTTCTATATCTGAATGTACTATTACTATTACTAATGTACTATTATTGCCAATCTAAAACGTACTTATCGAACAAAATACACCCGAAAAATTGCAACTTCCTTCTATACATCAACATTAAGGTGTATACACATATTCGTATGTTTGTATTTTTGTGTGTACAATAATTGAAGCATCAACGCTTTGTGCTCATACTGAACACAATCAGTTTAATGCTGTTTGGCAAACTAAAAGGAACGCAAAGAGCTCAGTATAATGAAAGGTTAGTGGAACTCTGATAATAATATTATGAGCTCGTCTAAAACCATTGCTTCAACACCTCTAGCTTTATACTTTCTTGTGCTGGCAATATTGGCCCTTGAGGGTACATTTGTGAATGCCCGCAACGAAGATATTTGCCGGATTTTCTTTGATGGAACTGTCATTGCTAATCCGGAATCCTGTAGTGGTTACATAACATGCAATAACCATGTCGCTACCTATAGCACCTGTGGCGGCTCCACACCCTATTTTGACAAGGATAAGGCAAAGTGTGTTGCGTGGCCTGAGGACTTCGAGGACGATAACGCATGCAAACGGGTATCGTGCACAGCGGCTGTTGGCAGATTTATTTCCGATCCCAAGTCCTGCTTTGGCTACTACTACTGCGCTGACGAGGAGACGCCAATGTACAACAGCTGTCCCGATAACACGCATTTCAATGAAACCACCCAGTCGTGCACGTGGAAGGATGAATCTGAATGCAAAAGCACTGATTTCGACTACTGTAGCATTATAAAGGACGGTGTTAACTTCGACGATGTGACGAGCTGTGACAGCTATTACTCGTGCAAGAAGGGCGTCCTGACGTCCGCAAAATGCAAAAGTCAGTACTACAATACCCGTACAGGCAAATGCGTAATGAAGTCATTAGTATATTGTCCTGAACATCCCCTGCCGGACAATGTGTGTGGAAAAGCTAGCAAGCCAAAAAAGAACGAGTTTGTTTCGGATGGCGCAACCTGCCGTGGCTATCTCTTTTGCGCTGAGCAAGCGGATGGCAAACCCGATCCAAATCCATCGAAAAACTTCTGCCCCTACAATACATTCTTTGATGCAACCACACAATCATGCCGCGATCCCATTGATATCAAATGTACTGAAGATCGCTGCGACGGACGCACCGTAGAGTTTGTGCTTTCTGGTACTAAAGGATGTCGCAACTATTTGCGCTGTAAGGACCAACTTATGGTGGAAGAGTTGAGCTGCGGCAATTATTTCTTTGACGAGCATAAAGGCGCTTGTGTTTCCGAGGTTAACGTCTGGACTGCGTGCAAGACTTAAGATCTAATAAAGTTGAATTTTGTGCAAATGAATAACAAGTGGACAAGTGGTTTTATTTGAACGCCTGAACTCACGCTATGGCCACCTGTTAGTATTGCTGTTATCATTTCGGCCATTATTATAGCAATAAAAGGCAATTGTAAATTATTTTCAATTCACTTTCGAAGGTATTGTTTATTGTTAACCATATCAAAATCTCAGTTGTCGCTTTCAATTTCTATAGATAGCATTGGGCAACAAAGTGGTAATTTGGTAATTGTACTTAATATAACTAGAACTGGATTTCCAAATGGAATTACGAAGTCTTGGAGAAAAAAAAACTTCTTCGGAAGCAAATCATATAGTCTTTCAGATTGAAGATTTATTATACTTTTTATATAAAATCAACGCACTTACACAATTATTCTTCACGTTCTAGAGAATACCCTCAAGTCTTTACCTTATTCGATAAAAATCCCGACTACAATTTTTACAAAAGTTCATAACAGTTTTACAATGTTTTCTATTTACATAGTTATATTTGTATAGTATTGTTTTTATACCCTGTACCCGTAGGGTAAAAAGGGTATATTAGGTTTGTGCAAAGTATGTAACATACAGAAGGAAGCATCTCCGACCCCATAAAGTATATATATTCTTGATCAGCATGACGAGAGAAATCGATCTAGACATGTCCGTCCGTCTGTCCGTCCGTCTGTCCGTCTGTCCGTCCGTCTGGATGAACGCGAGGATCTCAGAAACTATAAAAGCTAGAATAACCAAAGTTGGCATCCAGATTCTCCTAGGTCCGAGTAAGGACGAGTTTATGTTTTTTTTTTAAATTTTCCCCCCCTTCCCCCGCTACAGAATTTCGTCAATAGCGTCCACATTTCAAATGCTACCTAAACCAAACTTTGCACACATAATTTATATATAATTGTCTACTGTTGTTCAAAATTTTATTCAATTCGGTTAATTCTAAGAAAAGTTATTAGCAAAACAAATCCTCGCCAGTACAACCCCCCCAAACTGCAGCAACAAGTTCGCTCTTCTTCTTCCTCTTTTTGCTGCTGCTATGGGCGCATATAACTCAGTGACGGAAGTTTACCTGGGTACAGGGTATTACACTGTCGGGCTTGCTCGACTGTAGCGTTCTCTCTTGTTAATATTAAGATATTACGAAATTTGTATTTAATCGTTTAAAATATATAAGTAATCCTTTTAAAATATATAGGGAAATATTTTTGCTACTAGTGCATTTATAATATTGAACCAGTTTTAAATCAACTCGAAGCCGGCATTTAAGCCACAATATTGTGAATCTATAAATCTACATTTTCGAAGATATACAAGTATATAGCGACATATTCCCGGGCCAATTTAAAATTCAGTAAATGAAATATAGGGCCCCCTTCGGCTATAAGAAATTACACGTATTTTCTATCTTGCTAATCAATACGTTATATCTTTAACTAATAGAACAGTGCGCATAATAGTTAAAAATAATTGAAAAGAATTCGCACAAGATACTATTTTCAGAAGCATTTCACGACCAAATCGCCTTTCACTCTCAGTACACGCGCAAAATTGTGTTGCAAGGTGTAATTATTGGGTCATGTTTTAATATACTGCAAAAAAATAATCAGCTAGTGACTACTGGTACTGATAAAATATTTATTGGTTTATTAATTAGCCATATATATGATTATCGTAATTGACATCGACAACAAGCTTCCAAAATTAATGGCACTGCGAGGGCTCCCTAAGCCATTGTGTTGGATTTTCCACATAACAAAGTATTTTACCCTGTGAAAGGCAGCTTTGGCTTATTTATTTTTATGAATTTATTGCTTGTTTTGTGGCAAAATTGTTTAATAAATCAACAAATTAGGAGCTTCTGAATTTACTTGAATGAATTTGTTAGACATATCAATCCGATGATAATGAAGGTGTATATTGTTCAATGTTCAATTTGGAACAACTCTTTTTGCAAACTTTAGTAGATTACCTGTCTTATTTACACATCCTCAAATTTTCGGTCAGCTACGGATAAGATTACGCAGACCACAAAAAGGCAATATGATTCAAAATGCTCAATTTTGATACTAAAACGCCGTCCTCACACCTATTTAAGTTAGTTCTACGCAATCATAACAGAGCGTCACATCAAGCAACTTCAATTGGTTTCTTTTGGTGAAGCAAAAATTCCGATCGAATTCGGTAACAATGCTGAGTGAGTGTATATGTTATTAATAAAATCTAGTGTCTTACATAACTACACAATCAGATATTCTTGATATTTGCCACAACTATTCCTTAAAAATACGCTTTTAAATGCATCTTTTAAATTGCAAAAGCAAGGAATCTCTGCCTATTATCAGCTTTCAAGGCCAACCAAACACTTGATAACATAGTAAAACAAGTAAAAAAGCTAAAGTCGGGTGTCCCGACTTTGAAATACTCTGTACATATGTTTACAATAATTATAGAAAATAAAAAAAATTAGGAAAATAAAAAAAAAATTTGATCGATTTTACCTCTCTCGGTATTCGAACTCACGTAAAGGGTTTATAATTGCACATTTACATAGCAATTGCGTCTGTGTGAGTGTATGTATGCCTATGCGCATCTATTCGTGTCTGTGTAAGCATTTTCGCAGTCAACCAAACAGCAACATCAACAACAGCCGCGGGCAGCGCTTGAGCAGCGCTTGAGCAGCGCTGCAGCAGCGCTGCATCAGCAAATATATTTATGGCTATAACTTCTTGTTAAATCGGTCTATCATAATGAAATTTGGCATACGGACACATAATAACCAACTGGGGGTATTTCCAATTTTAATTTCAAATTTTAGTTCGAAATTCCAAGAATTACGGGAGTTACGATTTGCGGGGTAGAGGGGGGCGGGAGGGGAATTCCAAAATATACATTTTCTGCGTATTCACATAAGGCATCTGGGACTAAAATTTGGTGTTCCTAGGTCTTATAGTCTCCGAGATATAGGCGATTATACGAATGGAAAATCGGGAAAACCCCCATAGGGGGGAAGTGGGGGGGAAAATCAAAAAAATAAAACAAACTCGTATAGAATACACACATAACGCATCTTTGTGCAAAATTTGGTGTCTCTATCTCTTATAGTCTCTGAGATCCAGGTGTTCATACGGACGGACAGACGGACAGACGGACAGACAGACAGACAGGGCTAGATCGACTCGTCTCGTCATGCTGATCAAGAATATATATACTTTGTGGGGTCTGCCACGCCTCCTTCTGCCTGTTACATTTTTCAGCTCCCGCAAACCTAATATACTCTTGTACATTTCATGTACAGAGTATAAAAATTTGAATGCACCTGGTTCAATCAAAGCAAACAAACTACATTTAAACAAGTAGATAAACGTCAATGTTAATAACAGAAGGAGGCGTAAAAAATATACTTCTATGTACTTGTTCATATGAAATTAATCGGTATTGAACATCGAAAACTTTTAAGCTATACAGCTGAAAATATGGAAATTAATAGGTATTAAGTGTTAATATATGTAAGTATACTCATTATATTATAAAGCTTCCATAGAACCGACCAATGAAAAATTGACACATTTTTCTGAAACAATTTTTGGTTTTAAAGATATATTGCGAAAAATTGGCACATCTGAATTTGTAATTGTGACTAACACAATATTCTGAAGTTTTAGCAAAACATCGGGAACGAACTCTAGAAAATCAATCTTAGCAGTATGAAGCGTATTTTTGGTAAAGTCGAACAAGATTTGTTAATGGAAGCAAGTAATAAGGGCAACGCAAAGTGCATTTTAAAAAAATCGACAAATAAAATTAAAAATGTAGATTCGAAGAAATTGTTTTTTAATTTGCAATAATTTGTTTGTTAAGTCAGTTAAATGAGCTGTCATTCGTGCAACACTTATTTCAAAATACCAAAGTATCAAAGTCCCACTTCAATTCCAATTATAAATATTTTTTTATGGAATGAAAACTTCTTTACGCTGTTTAATTGAATTGAAAGAAACTTGGAGTGAAGACGTACATGTATGTAAAATAATTCAAATATCAAAAATGAATTGCATATATTAAAGTAGAAACATTGAGCTACAATAGAATAATTCCAACTGCCATTTCAAGTAAGCAAATTTAAATTAAATAAGATTTCTATTTGCTATTATTATATCACAATATATACATATACATTTCAGAACTAACCTGTCTTGGTATCGGCCTATTTTTGCTCTTACTGCCGGAACCGTCGCTCGCAAGCGCCGATTTCTTGACTCTATGCCGCCTTTTCAAGGATGGCACCCTCATAAGATACCCGGGCTCATGTGACCTATACATTAAATGCAACGATGGCGAAGGTACATATCACAGATGCGAAAACCCTTTGGTATTTAATGGCAACACGGGAAAATGTGAGACTGCAACGACGGCGAATAGTGTACACTGTAGCAATAGATGTGAAGGCCTAGACGGGGTGTGGAAAGCCTATCCCACAGACTGTAGGCACTACTATTACTGTAGCAATGGAGAAGCCCTGTTTGGCGGTTGCGGCGAAGGATTGCATTTCGATGAGGCCAGCCAAAGCTGTGTGTACGAAGAACAGTCCAGTTGCGTGGAGTTCCCCAACATATGCGAAGCTTTGCCAAAGACGAACTTTCGAGATGAAACCGATTGCAGCAAATATTATGAGTGCTCTTTGAGTGGGAATCCTAAAAGCAAAGCTTGCGGCAAAACCGTACCATATTTTCAATGGACTTCCGGTGCTTGCGCCCTGAAAAAGAATGTCCCATGCACGGCCCATCCGAAGAGTGGTATATGCGGTACTGCCAAAAAACCGCTTACCGGCTATCAGGCGGACGGAGGATCATGTCGTGGCTACTTCAATTGCGCCAACTTGGGTATAGTCGAAGATCTGGATCCCGTGTGGTATCAATGCCCCGAGGGAACTTTCTTCGATAGCACCCGCAAAACCTGTGCTGAACCAACATCGGTGGTCTGCACACATAATCGGTGTGAAGGCCGCGGCACCATGCTGGTCACTTCAAGTGTCGATGATTGTCACAGCTACTATCGTTGTGAGAATGGCACTGAAGTGGCTAAAGTTATGTGCGAGAGGGATATGTTCTTCGATGAGCGGATTCAAGCATGCACATTTACATTTATTGAAGACAAGTGCTGTGACGGCACAAAATATGAATAACAGCCATTAAGTGCCTAAAGCACTATACAAAAATAAAAATGCAGAGCAATAGATATATACACACTTAGTTTTCCTTTTTGAACCATCGTTGTTCCACATTTAACTCTATCGAGAGTTTGTCAATTTTTTGTAGCATTTGATGGTGAGTTGAGAAAAATCAAACGCCAAAGACAGATCATGCGAGCTTTTACTTATCGGTCAAAAGGGTTAACTGCCTTCCGTCCTTACTTGGCAATAGCCAAGCTTCTTTTCATTCACGTATAAATAAGAATTATATCAAAAAACACTTTGCGAGCAACTGCCTTAGCAAAAATCAAATTTTATGTTTATGCCGAAGTTTTATTATATATCTGCCATACGAACGATTCTTACAACAAAGAGGAGGGGCCTCAGAGCATACAAGAATTGTGGGTGGCGTGACTTTTTTGATATTTCAAAATTTGGTAAACTTTGTGAACCTAATTTTCAGTCAAATTTTTACATTTTTAACAAACTCATTTCTTAATATGTTTCATTAATAGGTATGGGGATAAATGTTTAAAAAACATTTTTAAGTTAGTTAAAGAACAGCAGAATAGTGTAGATTCAAATCAAATTTCTTTTGTTTTAGTTTTATTTCTTGCAATACGCATATTATTTATAATACTAAGTATGTCACACTTAAATCAGGTATGACGAATATAAGTAGTATTTTATTTGCATGGAGGGTCTCAATGGTCTCTATGGTTTCAACCTTTTTTTTTAATTTTCAGGTAGGTGATAAGACTTATATTATAATTAAGAAGATAACTATGTTTATTGTACTTTGGAAGTATGTATGTGCAGACGTGTATATGCAGAGGCCTTGCGTTACATTAAATAATTCTCTTCTTTTGCCATTATAACTAGATAACTAGATAACTACTATATGTTTGTAGAAATGCACTTATACCTTCTAAATCATATCGCACTTTTCATTCGAAACTGACTCCAGAGTGTGTACATACTTGTACAACTCCAATAACCCGTTTAAGTGTCATGTGAAAAAGATTTCTAATTCGATTGATATCCTTTGTACTTAGCAAGTGATGCTGTCGATCTCTCCCCCTCAGTAGGCATTAAAATTCGATAAAATTTATATTCTAAATGGAAAAAACAGACTCACCAATATTTTAATGTGCATGACTATATAACATTCATTGCTTCCATAGCATCATTTGGGTGTGTTATTCGAATATGAAACATTATTCGATGACGATCACATCTGTAAATACAAGGTGCGTTCCAAAGTAAACAGGACTTATTGAATCTAGCGCCTCCTGGTGGCGCTATCTATATATCGAGAATTTCATGACATTTCATCGATTGGAAGTGTAGTTATTGCGTTTTAAGTGTTAGTATGTTTGTGTTATCGGTGCGAAAATGAGCTTCGAACAAAGAGCCAACATTAAATTTTGTTTTAAAATTGGTAAAACTTTTATAAAGGAAAGCGATATGCAGACGTAGAGGCCATTCAAAAGGCTTGCACCGGCATACTGGCGGCCATACCGCCCAACGAGCTAAAACACTAGTTCGACATGCTTTTGGATCGTGGAAACAGCTGTATTGAAGCAGAAGGAGACTATTTTTAATAAAATAAATTGATTTTGCCGAAAAAACCATTTGTTCTGTTTTTTTTTTTTTTTTTTTTTTTTTAAAGTCCTGTTTACTTTGGAAAACACCTTGTAGAATCATTTCTTTCGCATTATATTTCATCCGAAAAATCGAAAAAATAATTGAATGATGGAAGAATATATCGGGACAGTTTAAAATATTTCCATTCAAATATAGTATTTCGCTTACAGTTGCTGAGATAGTAAAGACCCAAACCTCAGAAGCTCTGATAAAAACTTTTCTGCGCTTCATCTGAGGCATATGTGTTTGTTCATTAGACTTGTACGTGTGAATTAATTACCAACATTATTTATGGAGACTGTTAAGCAGCACTTGAAATTCAATTTGCGAAACACGAATACCCTTGCTTTGAATGCTTTGTGCTCTGCTTGCTAATGCTTATCGCAATTTGCGAGCGTTGGCTTCTAAAGAGTTTACGAAAAAGTATCTAAACAAAATTAGTTGTCGTTTAAAATGTCACTGGAAAATGCCAGCTTGCTGTACCATAACAATATTTGATCTAAGGTCAACACTCTTTTGCGGCAACCATTCAGTATAGCCATTTTATTTGCCATTATAAAGTGAATGGTTGCAACCATAAACATTCAAATACAAATACTGACACACAGCTATCCGCATGCTCGATGTTCGTAGCAATCACTATAGTGATTGTAAAATGCGCATGTGTGGCGTTATAGGTGTGCCTTTATGACGTTTCAGACCATTTGTGTTTTACGCACACACTTACACATATGTATTTACAGCCCGACTTACAGCACAAATGAATGTTCGAGATAGCGTGAGAGATGTGCAGCAAAATGTATGAGAGCCAGAGAGCGAGAGAGTGCGAAACTGCGCGAGACTGCGAGTCTGCGAGAGAATGTTGCAGGCTTACCTTAATACTCGTGTGTACTTGTGAATCGCTTGGCTTGCCTTGTGAGTTACAGTAATTTTTGTTTATACCCTTCACTTCCAATTGGGGGGTATATTTCTTTGGGTGCGTAAGTTGGTAACCACATACACATGTTTATATGAACTAATTATATGTATATTCAGGAGTACGCACAGAATCTAAACCGCGAAATCAAATGGTCCAACCCCTAGTCTGTAGCCCCTCCATTCTATAGACATAGCGTTGCTTTTTAAATAACCATGCTGGATCATTACTTGATATACCTGTCGAAGAAACAAGATAATTTAAATATAGTTTTATAAAAAAAACTGGTGTCTTTATGGATCGCTAAAGGTACAGCAGTCGAAGAAACGATATAATTTAAATATAGTTTTATAAAAAAAACTGGTGTCTTTATGGATCGCTAAAAGTTCAACTGTCGAAGAAACGATATAATTTAAATATAGTTTTATAAAAAAAACTGGTGTCTTTATGGATCACTAAAGGTGCAGCTGTCGAAGAAACGATATAATTTATATATAGTTTTATAGACAACTGTTGTATTCCCCATTAATTTTCAACTAGCTTAAGCTGCCATATTGGTAGCAGAATACTGGTTTAATAAATTGTATATATGTAAATAATAAAAAAAAAGGGCATACAATTTTACTTAGTAGGAGCACAGTATATGGTTACCGATCCATGACCTTGGCGAAATGAACGATGTTTTTCTTACAAGGCAAAGAGTGAAGGGTATATAGTTGCAGAGCAGACGAATAAAACTTTTCAGCTTGTTTTTTGGTTAGCGCTTACTTGTTTAATCTTCCACTCACGTATTTTCAGAGCGGGCAGAGAAGTTGCTGGCAGGTCGGCGATGCCAGCGTCGACGGCAGCAGCAGCAGCAGCGGACAAACAAAACAAACTCAAGATAGCAGCAGCAGCAGGCGTAACTACTTAGTGCTCCGACCAGTCAGTTAGTCAGTCTGCGAGGCCGCTTTGAACGCAAAAGACTTGGCGCGGTAAAAAGTACGAACTTGAAACCGTTGACGAAAAGTTCAAAATAGATCTTGTTTTTTATGCCCTGTGTGAAAAGTGAAAAGCTCCTAGACAGACAACGAAGACATTGACATTCAAGGCACACTAACACACACTTGACGCCTGCGGTATTGGCCAGCAACTACAACTTCGGGCCAACAACAAGTTTTAAGCCAGGCAGCATTTAATGGGATCATTATAAGTATAAAGAGAACAGAAGGGGCAGACTGGCCGCCTTTTTCGCATAGCAGAGCAAAACGTGATCGCGAGAGAATTACTGACCGTCCTCCATCGGACACGCACACGGCGAACAAAAAATTATAATTATAATTAATAATAACATAAAAACGAAAATCGCAACACAAGGAACAACATAAACCGGCACAACAATGAATCAAACACAAGTGAATAACTTTTTGAAATGCTTCCTGCAAATTGATGAGACCGTTAGCCATTTGGCAATGCGCGATGATCACGACCATGATCACGATCACGATCACGATCACGACGATCATGACGATGACGGGTCCTTAATTGTCGCCAAGGTAACCGCCATGGTTGTCCTCTTTTGCGCCAGCACATTGTGTGGCTCAATTCCTTTTCTGTTGAATCGCTGGTTCCGGTGGACAGAAAGCCAAACAAATGCCCGCTCCGCCACTGTAGTGAAGTGTCTTCTATATATGGGTGGTGGCGTTCTTTTGGCCACCACGTTTCTCCACTTGCTGCCCGAAGTGCAGGAGGTGGTGGAGCAACTGCAGGATTGTCAGATAATACCCGAACTGACCTTCCCACTTGCCGAACTGCTGATGTGCTGCGGCTTCTTTATTCTCTACTTTGTGGAGGAGGCTATACACACATATGTGCATCACAATAATTCACAAGACGATGAAGCTGTGGCTGCCTTTGAACGTGGACATAGCATACGCCACAGTCATCTGGTGAAAGCGCCCACTGCTCCAGCTCTGGGCAATGGAGGAGAGCATGTTCCTTCCACAATTACGGAGGTAGGCAGCCCCACCACGCTGTCTGTGCAGGATCTGCTGAGCAGCGATCAAAAGTATCAGGAGGCCACACTCTCCCCACCACCCGCCCACACTTGCCATCATGTGCATCAACAACACCACGCCCATCATCAGAGTCATGGCCACAGCCACCTGCCTTTGCCAGCGACTAACGGTGCAGATCACAACCCGGCCGATGTGTTGGCTTCCTCCCTTCGTGGATTGTTCATTGTTTTGGCATTATCGCTGCACGAGCTCTTCGAGGGAATGGCCATTGGACTCGAGGGCTCGGCGAGTTCAGTGTGGTTCATGTTTGGCGCCGTCTCAGCTCACAAACTGGTGCTGGCCTTCTGTGTGGGAGTGGAACTAATTGTGGCCCGCACCCGCTTCATTCTAGCCTGCATCTATGTGCTAACTTTCGCAGTTGTTAGTCCCCTGGGCATTGGCATTGGTATCCTTATCAGTCATGGAAATAATTCCGGTGTCCCCAGCCTGACGTCAGCCATTTTGCAAGGCTTCGCCTGTGGCACACTTCTCTATGTGGTGTTCTTTGAGATTCTCTCGAAAAACCGCTCCGGCCTGAAAGCTTATTTGGCGCTCTTTGTTGGATTTCTTATTATGTTCGGAATACAACAGCTTGGTGAGTAGCATGGCAAACTAAAATGTACATACATATGTACTATATGTTTATACATACATATACTTATAGGTGTAGGAATAAAGGTGTGTGCTTGTGTGTGTGTGTGTGTGTGAGCGTGTATGCGTGTGTCAGTCAAATGATTGTGAAAACAATTTGTTCATCAAGAGAAACACTGATTCCGGTGAATTGAGAACAGGTTCTCCACACAACGCATTGCGGTTGGCCTTGTAGATGGCAGTTCTGCTATCATCTTGTTGTCTTTATTACAAGCCAATGGAAAAGCCCCCATGCGGTCTGTGGCAGGAAATACACAGGGGGATGCACGATGCAAAAAGTACCATAAAATGGATGCGTGCAGTGCATTTGACAGTTGACACTCGCTAAGTACGACCAATATATGGCTTCAGCCGAGTCATATAATCTTTAAGATCTGCTGGTTCCAAATTAGATAGACTGCCTTTTTTCAAGTAATTTTAGTTTTGAGACTTGTACACATACAGATTGGAACTGTTGAACCATTCAACAATATACTAAAAAATCTTTCTATACATACATATTTTGTTATAAATGATATCATATTACCGCCAAACCGGCCCTATACACACATCGCATTCTTCGAGCTAGACTTGTCGAGCTAAGTATGTGAATATCACATATCACTTGCCTAGTCAAGAGACCAAATACGTCTTACTTATATCGAGTTTATTCAGAGGTTTCGAGGGAAATTACGGGACCGGTACTTTTTAAACAACAGTCATATGTAAATAAAATAAAATAGTAAAACGTGTTGGAATGCTTGACATTTTTACGCCCGGGTGATTCCCCTTTTCCAGCCTCCTTTGACGCGCCTGCGTATATTTGCTGTTGAAACTTGTAAAACTTTCCTATCCCCGATGCACTTCCGACAGTTTTTACTTTCAATCACTCACTGTATATAAATAAGTACGTAAGTACGAGTGCTTAGGGAAGAGTTGATGTAGTGATCCACCGCAATTAGCACATTTCCTGATTGAGACGCAGAGTTTTGTTCTTGCCTCACGCCTTAGTTTAACGCTCAATTGGTTGAGCAAGGCACACACATACTATAAACATACATGCATACATACATCCATACATTGGAGTATAATTAACGGTGATCAACATTTTATTTTCAGGTGCAGGCGGGCACGGACACAGCCACGGCAGCAGTTGCTCAAGCAGCGAAACCGATCATGAACACGAACACGCCGCGCATATGGAGGGCCGGGCAGGCGAGCATGAACATGCTCATGCGGGGCAGGACGGCGTGGCTCCGATTGCCAGTCATATGAAGAACAATTATGAGCAACAATTGCAAGTCTTGCGTCAGGTGACGCAAAAGCTATTGGACAATCATCACAAGAAAGAATAATAGCTACTGCAAACAAAAATATTCATACATATATGTACATATAAATACATAGTACTACTTATATACACATAATTTAATTTGAAAAGATAACTGCTATGCAGAAATTGTATATATCTACATACACACATACATATTTATACACATAGAAATAATAATAAATAAATAATTAATCAAATAAATCGAAATGTTGCCTTAAATATACATAACTCTGTTTTTGCACGGTCTTTTTTACACGGATTGAAAATTGAACATTTTATACATATGTATATGGTTACATGACTTTATTCCATTTAAAAAAAAAAGACACACAGCTGACAAACAGCTAGAAACCATTCCTATGTTGGTCGTTATGCACATTATATATGTGATTTAACAAAATAAACATAAATCCTTGTTTTCACTGATTTTAAAAGTTTTTGGAGAATTAGCTGCATACATATATTTTCCCTAAAGCCCCAAAGAAATGACATAGGTTAGATGAATGTGTTGGGCATTCATTATCAAATAGTTCGGAGTAAGTCAGTTCAAGGAACTGTAATAGGCACCTGTTAAGACAGACTAAATAAAAATGTCCAACTAAATATCATATATTTTCGAAGACTTATCATTACAATGACCAGTTAACAAAGTAGGTTTGTAGGTTAATGAGCTGTTGTAAAAGATAAGCGTGTGCATTTTAAAGATCAAAATCCTGCCACGGTGGACTGCAATCTAGACCCAGCTAAAACACATTTAGGCTCAATCCTAATCTTAATCATTTATGCATAAATCATACCTACGAGATAAGAGCATTAGCTGTAATTTGCTCGGAAAGCAATTTTACAAATATAAGGAATTCATTTCAAGTTTGTTGGCAGCGTTTTTTAATTAAATGTTGCATTCGAAAAGCAAAAAAATAGAAAAAAAAGGTTTAAGCATGAAAAGTGAAAGAGACAAAGAAAGAGAGATTGTGAAATTGATAGGAACTGGAGAACATTATTCTACTTTGAAAAAATAACCGATAAGGGATTGAGCAATGCGTAGTCGTTCAAAAATGCATCTATTCAAGTGAAGTTTCTTATTGTTGTACAAGAAATAAAGAAGTAAGGGCAACATAAAAATCCTCTCCTGACCTAACCTTAACTAGCTATCCTTAAGTAACCTGCTGTATGACATTAATGGAACAAGCCCGCTAGAGAACTAAGTAAAAGAAGCGTGGGTTGGAATCAAAGCTTCGCAAAGAATGCAAGTTCTTCATTTCAGGGTATACATTGTCAGTTGTCACGGAAAGCAAATAAAAGATAAGATTCGATTGTCTTAAATACGCATATGGTAAAATGAAAGCGTAAAATATTACCTAGAATTCGTAGCTGCATTCAGAGTCGTTGTAAAATGTATTGTCCGCATACATTGTCGGAATAGAAGAAGGTAAATATAGTATAGTAGCTAGAGGGGAGAACATTTCAACATAAAAGTTTCCAAAGAACACGAATTTGAATTCAAAATGAATACAAACTGAACGTACTGAAATATTTCGTAGTATCCAGTTTCAATTCAATGTCAATGCGCAAGATCAGGACTTCTAAAGTAAGTCCAATCGATCAATTCCGTTGTGAATTTAATCAATATCCCCCATATACCCCATCTATATTTGAGCTTTGTACGTGCTGTTATTGCCCTCAATACTTATGGCTTAGTGATATTTCAAGTACATGCAATAATACAAGAGGGTACCATATATATAGTACATAGTTGCCTTTGCTTGGTAGGGCAATTCAGGCTGGTTGTGAAATTTCAGCATTATAACTCAACCATAGTGCGCAAATCGTAAAGCGGCCCGAAAACAATAAACTTTGTGGGCCTTAAGTATTTGTAGCCAATATAACATGTTATCTGAGGGAAATACATACATATACTATATGTATATGTACATATACGGGGGTGGTAGTGTGTTGCTAAAGGCCGAGAGCGGGGCCTAGCTTATTATTTTTCTGTCGCATAAACACACACAATAAATAAATTTTCATGCTGATAACTTTATTGCTTGTACAACGTTTTAGCACGATATCTCCACTGCGCCTGGCGACGCATCGCGTCATTTCTCAAAACATGGCAGATCAAATGCCACTAGCTGCTCTCATCTTCTCTGCGAAAAGAGAGAGAGAGAGCGTGAGAGAGGGAGAGGAAGATGATAGTGAGAGAGAGCAAACTCTCTTGTGAGCTTGCGCCATGAATACCGGCCGAGATAAGTGCAGCGCGTTGAAATTAGCACGACAAGTGTCAAGTGTGAATTGCCAAGTGGTAACAATATTTGACAGCACATGAAAACATCTCCGCAACTCAATTAGCAGCTATGGTCTTTGGGTTTGTTATTTGCATTAATTACAGTCGCTAGGCGATGTACTAAAGTTGTTGATGTTGATGTTTTAGTTATTGCAGTCGGCTTTTCTTTATGATATTTTTCGCTGAACATATTGATTACCTCTCCTGATATTTACCGAACTCTTAATTGCCTCTGTCTCATATTTGCAAGATATACTAAGTAGTTTGTTGACAATATTTAAATTGGAACAGACCAGATGCTTAGAATCGAACACAATTTTCAATCCATAAACTACAGACACCAATACTTGCAGACCTACGTAAATTAACTCGTTAAAGTTTTTGATTCATACATTTTCTTAAAATTTTTAAAATCAATCAATTAATATAACTCATTATTAATCATTAACATTGTTTCCCTCATTGCTGGAGCATTTAAATACTTGTAGTAACAAAGAAGACTCCTGCATCTACATTCCGGTTACTTATTTTGCGACTTAAAAGAAAAAGGAAGGCAACTGGATTACTTTCTCTGGTGGTGTCAGACCAATAACATTTAACCGCTTTTCGCCAAATATTGTAACTTTAAAACACCTGTAATGTATAAAATACTCAACAGCAAAAATGAAATTTAAAAAAAAAATATTTTAAGTAGTTAAACAACTTTCCACTATGCGACATATCGCTCTAAATTAATGCGAAATCCATTCCCTAAACTGGTCCATGATATAATTATAAGCATATTTATCATTGTAGTTTTTTTTTTAAATTTAATTTAATTTATTCCTTTACTTATTCTCTCATTTTCCTGTTTTGTTTACTTCTATGTCGAATTTCTGTTAACTAAAAAAATAAACAAATCATGCATTAAGACCGTGCTCAGCCAGATTCTTTAAATTCAGAGAAAAAGGCCGTGAAACCTTAAACAAACATTTAAAATTTAGTATGCATATGCTTAATTATCAACCATCTGTTAAGTCACATGGTTGATAATTAAGACAAGGCGCATACTTTAAACAAACACAATTCAGATCCTTGTGCTATCGGGTGATTAGTTCCTCTATTAGCATCGAACCAGTGGAATAATTGTGGCGCGTGTCTCTTAATAATTAACTACGACGTAAATGCTATGAAAGAAAATTCCCTTTATTTCAAAGTTTTAACTAAGTTTTAAGATTTGTTTTATATTGCGGTAAATAAGCAAAGGTTCAATTAGTGGCATGACGCCAATAACACATACACTGAGCTCTAGCAATTTACTTGTATTCGGTTTAAGATTTACATATGTATATGAATTTTACGAAATATATCCTAAGACAAGAAATTATTCTTTTATTTTAAGCAACAACAATTAGATTATAACAAAGTCCAAATTTACGGATTTATCAATAGAAAATAACTAACGGTATATTAGATTTTATTTGTAGAACTTGATTCGCCTTGCCTTCTAAAAATCATATTTTACAAAATTTGTTTTTATATTAGCAACAAAAAGACATCAATTTGATTTTTTGACAAAGCCGTTGCGACATTGAATTGGTTCTTCGCTGACAGATACACATTGTATATCACAAATGGATTTCTGGTCATGTGCCATTTAAGACTTACTATACAAGTATGATTGATAATCCAAATCAAAAGTCTACAATCAGTATTGCCCGTCAGACATTCAGACCTTGAACAAAATTGTATTTATTGGTAAGAAAAAAAATACATAAATATAATTTTTTCAGTGTTCATATGTAGGTGGATCAAGTAATGGGCACAAAGCCAACAAAGCATGTCAAAACGTCAGTAGCAAGGAAACACGTAACCACATTAAATTATAGAATGTTATAAGAGTAAATTGTTCCACTACTTTGATGAGATACTCGTATGCAAAAATTTCAAGAATGTGGAATGTTCGAGATTTGCATAAAAAATACCAAACGTGCTAACCCAATGTTGCACATTAACTAACGTGTGTTGAACGTCTGTGCTTCCCAAAAAAATAAGCACAACATTTTCGTCCAATTATCATACACATGTTTATTATTTTCTTCAAATTTTCTTTTTAGCAGCGCTTTGTATATAAATTAATAATCATACATTTAACAATTCGATAAGTATTAAAATCAAGATATCAGATGTCAATCATAGCAATTAGTAAGGAATATAACATTTCAAAATAAAAACCCAGCAAGCTAATGTAATATCTCAGACATTTTTGTTTGTTGGCAGGAGCCGTTGAGAAGCAAACCTGACAAGTTCATTCAATGGTTTTATTAACAGGACAAATTTCTCCGCATGCTCTACGGTAAACAGTTGCTAACTTGAAATTGCAATGTTTTGTAGAAACGGCTATTGTTTTCGTCATCAAGCCTTAATAGGAAATAATCAATATATAATATACTATTTCAAAATAATTTCTTTCCTATGTCAACATATTCTAGTCATGTAGATATATTTAGACATAAACGTATCTCATATATTATTAAGGTATTTATTATTTATTTTTTGTTTTATTCGATCTGTTTCTTTAAAAATTTAAAACCATGCATGAATAAAGTAAATTAAATTTTTTATAATATTTGTGTAGATGCAATAAACTAATTAAAATACATATGAATATTAAATATACTGTTTCCTCGACCAGCTCTTGACACCATCAAGGCTGCAACGGAAATTAAATAAGGACGCCTTCTACAAATGTACATACATTTATAAAGTATATACATACATACATATACATATACATGCATACACACATATATGTATATATAAATCTAAGGTACTTCCTTTCCCCTTCACATTTATGTATACATATACATATATTCATTTCCTTTCAAACGCATGCAAAAGAGCACACAACACGTATTGGCAATAAAATATGTACATATATAAATAAATGCCTTAAAGCTTTTAATTAATTATTATGCGGGGGAAATCCCGCGTTAAAAACAGTTGCAGTGCAAAAGGATGTTGCTAACACACATCGATAGCACATTTCTCACGAAACATATCGCGTGCTCTCCCACAGCAACCTATCGATAACAGTGTCGCTGCCGTTCCATCCCTACAGCATACATTTATTCATATCAAATTTGTTTAGGCGTAGTTAGCGCCCAGATATTTGCAATATTTCCGAATTAAGGTTGTGTCGAGTGTCAATAATTTGTATGAGAAAAAGTGGAAAATCATTTAATTCAGTTGGTGCGTATTCCTCCACAATTGTTTTGCTAGAGACGCGCCGACGGCAGCAGCGGCTGCGGCCAACGGTTAAGCCGCTAAAGCAAACACACACGCATGCATAAGAAGATTGGCGCTCTGTCGGCGCACATCGTGTGCCTTATATACATACGTACATATTTATATATTTATATATATTTATTTGCGCGATGAGCCTAAGACAGGACTAAGTGAGTTTTTAATTTAAATTGTGTGGTTTTTCAGTTGCTGTTGCCTACCTGCAATGAAGTCGACGCAGTCTGTTGGCAATGCCAGCAAATTATTCGAGCCCATCGAATATGTCACAATTAGCGATGATTCTGACGGCGAGCCATCGCCGAAACGAACTACGGCAGCACCAACGGCAGCAGCACCTTCTGGCAGGGAAGCGAAAACCAAATTCGATGACGACTCCAATGACGCGCCGGCAACTAGCGATGAGCGACGCACAAGCAGACGCAATAAGCCCAAGGTGGACTACACTAACAAGCAAAGTGCTGCCGGGGCCACTGATAATGGATCCAGTGAAAAATCCACCTCTAACTCATCTGCACCCAGTTCCAGCGGCGTGGCGGATAAACGAAATCATCATTCGCATGGCGAGCATCGCACCCGCAAGTCGGAGGCTGCTCATCATCAGACCACCTCCACTCGCAGTTCTATGCAAAAGGATACGACGGCGGCAGCTGCAACAGCAACGCTCGCGTCCAATTCAGCAGCGGCGCCCACGGCCAATGGCGATTCTCGTGAGGTGAACACGCCCACCCCACTGTCCGGCCAGGAGGGTGCCGTATTTCAATCGCGGTTACCCTTCAGTAAAATGACACCCAACGAGGAGGCCTGCTTTCCCGATATAAGTCGCTCAGGCATCCTGGGACACCGTGTCTTTCTAAACATACGAAATAGTTTGCTACATATGTGGGTGGACAATCCAAAGCTACAGCTTACCTACGAGAATGCGCTCAAAAATCTATCGCCGCCGTTCGACAGCGAACCGAATCTGGTGCGACGCGTGCACTCGTTTCTGGAGCGTCACGGCTTCATAAACTTCGGCATATTTAAGCGTCTGCGCGCCATACCCACAAAAAAGTTGGGCAAGGTGATAGTCATTGGTGCCGGCATTTCTGGTCTGGCTGTGGCCCAGCAACTGCAGCAATTCGGAATGGATGTGATTGTGTTGGAGGCACGCGAACGTGTCGGCGGTCGAATTGCCACCTTCCGCAAAAACAGCTACATTGCTGATTTGGGTGCTATGGTCGTTACCGGTGTCTATGGCAATCCTATGACCATCCTGAGCAAGCAAATTGGTATGGATCTGGTGCCCATACAACAAACGTGTCCCCTCTACGGTCCTGATGGTAAGCCGGTGCCGAAGGAGAAGGATGATGTGATAGAGCGCGAATTCAACCGACTGTTAGAGTCGGCCAGCTATCTATCGCATCGCCTGGACTTTAACTATGCTGGCAATTGTCCTGTATCGCTGGGCGACGCCCTGGAATGGATCATCAATATGCAAGACAAGGCTGTGCAGGAGAAACGCGCCCTCCATATGAACGATATAATTGTGGCGCAATCGAAAATCATTGAACATCGCAAGCGTCTTAAGCTGATCAAGGATAAAATTTCTGCTTTGAAGCAGGACTACAACACACAGGTCCGCCAACGCTTGCCCAAGAACGCAGACAGTGACATGACCTATGCGCGCCAAGAATACAATATACGCAATACACAAATCAAGCTGGAGAACATCATAAAGGTGTACGAGGAAATGCGCAGTCAGGGCCACAAGCTGGAGAGCAAACTGCACGAATTGGAACAAAATGGACCCAGGTGAGTGCAATAGATAAGGTTCTATGAATATCAGAGCTTTCGTGAACAGCAAGATCATAGCTTCAGAAAATGGGGATGTGTGGACCTTAAATCAAGATTTAAATTATTTCGGAAATGTATCAATTTTTATTTCACTTTACTGCATCTTTTTATTATTTTAATTGGAAGTCGTTCTAAGATGGCTATACTTAGTTGAACCCGTGGAAGCGATTTCATTTGTTGTGCTCACATTTGCATATATTTTTGTATGCCATTCCAATGATAGTTCATGAGGCTTTTAATTTAATTTCTCTTTGGTTCTCTTCGTTTGCAATTGCATAACGATGAACAAAAAGTTTTGGTTCATTTCATTGAATTGGAATGCAAAATAAATAAATACATAAACCCAATGTCATCCCCAGTGATGTGTACTTGTCCTCTCGAGATCGACTCATCCTGGACTGGCATTTTGCCAACCTTGAATTCGCCAATGCTACGCGTTTGAACAATTTATCGCTTAAGCATTGGGACCAAGATGACGATTTCGAGTTCATTGGCCACCACACAACAGTCCGAAATGGTTACTCCTGCGTGCCGGTAGCGCTTACCGAAAATCTGGACATACGCGTGAATAGCGCTGTCAAAGAGATTAAGTACAACAACAAGGGCGTCGAAATTGTAGCCGAAAATGTCAAGACATACAATTCATTGATGACCTACAAAGCGGATTTGGTTGTTTGCACGTTGACGCTGGGCGTGCTCAAGGTGGCTGTGGCCCACGAGGAATCGCAGCAAGGCAATACAGTGAAGTTCGACCCACCGCTACCAGACTGGAAGCAACAAGCCATACGTCGCCTGGGTTTTGGCAATTTAAACAAAGTGGTGCTCTGTTTTGATCGCATTTTTTGGGATCCCAATGCCAATCTTTTCGGTCATGTAGGCAGTACAACCTCTAGTCGCGGTACGTAAGCTTTTGAAACCATGCGTTAGAATCTGACTCAATGAACTAATATTCTAGGTGAAATGTTTCTTTTTTGGAGCATAAGTTCTTCGCCGGTCCTGTTGGCGCTCGTTGCCGGCATGGCTGCTAATATAGTAGAGAGTGTAACAGACGATATCATAATCGGACGCTGTATGTCGGTGCTGAAGAACATTTTTGGCAATGCAGCTGTTCCCCAACCAAAGGAAACTGTTGTCACCCGCTGGCGGAGCGATCAATGGGCCAGGGGCTCTTATAGTTATGTATCCGTTGGTTCCTCTGGCAGTGACTACGATTTACTGGCCGCTCCCGTAATTCCACCCACCTCTATTGAACCACACCCAACCAAAGATTCCGAAGAACTGCCCCGTCTGTTCTTCGCCGGCGAACACACTATCCGCAACTATCCGGCCACTGTGCATGGCGCCTATTTAAGTGGACTGCGTGAGGCTGGACGGATTGCTGACTACTATTTGGGCTATCCGGAAGGCACTCCTTCTGACATTGGCTATTCTGTGGTCGATGCAGCCAATTCTGTGTGCGTGGGAAACGTTGTAAAGCTGCGCGACCTTTCGCCACATCTCTCCGATTCGCCATCGTCAAAGAAGTCAGAGGAGAATTCAAATACTGCCGATTCCGTAGAGATGGAGTAGATTTATCTAACCTTACCTTACTTTAATTCAAACACTTAGATCAATTCTTATAGTCAACAATCAGAGTTCCATTGTGCATACTCCCCAATTACGTTTTATTAACATTTCATTGAATTCCCTATGAAACAAAACTAATTCAATTAGGCACTAGACTTAAGCAATTGTAAATACCCAAGACTATGGCCAGAGATAATTCAGGAATCTCGGCTAATCCCTATTTATATTAATTCGTAATAGTTTAGCTAAGTCTCAATAATTGCACAAAGTATGTAATAATATTAAGAGTCGTTTTATCCAATGATAATTGACCCTAAGCTGCACATAAACTGAAAGATCTTGCAATTCTCTATGCGGGCTTATTATACGAGAAAACGACTCTACCGATTGTAAAGCCATCAACCAATTGTAATTGTAAGCGGCAGTGAACCATCTGAGCTAACATTGTCAGTGCCAAGTCTGCTGAGCACAGTGATTGCTGCCATCTGAATTTGTGAAAATTTATTATGTGTTTAAGGTGAGATTTAAGATAAAAAATTTTAAGATATGTGTAGCTATATTAAATACGATCTATTTTTTTTAGACAATAAACAATACGATTATGTAAACGCAGAAATGCCGCAGAAATAAACACAATTGCAAACATTGTTTTCATATTCTTCTGTGCTAACACTTCGGACCTGACAAATATATCATTTGACGCAATGATAGTATCCAAAAATTGAGGAACTCTTTTTCGTTTTTAGGTCTTATATTAATCACTTATACTCTTACCGTTGGAAATGTGCGTTGATTGCACATAGCTTGTCGTGTCCTTATTTTTCCACAGGAAAATTCCTATTATTCAGGCCCCAGAAAAAATAGCAAAAAAAACAAGTATACAGTTTTTCTTGTATTCTTTTTGAGAGTATACAAACTAAGTTTGTAAGTTAATTGGTTCAGAATTGTAAGTTTTTCATCCAAACGTTGGAGCCCGTTTCCCCCCTTTGGAGTTCGAATTTTCCAAAACCGCTTTTTAGTGCTCACAAGGGTCTTTCTGTCCAAATTTCAGCTTCCTAGGTATTACCGTTTGGGCTGTGTGTTGATTGCCAATCAGTCAGTCAGGCCAATCTGTTTTATATATATAGACATTATTGCAGCAAAGCCACAACTCGAGCACGACATGAAGTTCCTCTTACATCTTTACAAATTACTTCATAGAATAATAAGTATGTTCAAAATTTTAATTTTCCGGGTTATTAAATATTGCTTGCCCACAAGCACAGCTGTCGTAAAAATACGGCGGGAAAGAGCAGAATATCCCAATTAATAAACAATAAAATAAAACAATGACATCATATCGAACAACTAACTTGCCTGCCAGTTTTAAAATAATGTTGATTTTTAATTCCTATTTCGAAAAGTACATTATAGATTTGTGTACCTGAATGTTCAAATGTGATTATAGTGATTCAAAAATGCATGCTACTTGGGCGACGATAGAATTCATCCGTATTATTACGGAATTTTGAACTATATGAATATGTTTTAGAAGGTCACTAACACAGACCGTACCGTATACATGTGCCTCACAGGTTGTCTAAAGATAGATGGATGGAAACTTTTCTGTTTTTAATATAAAATGTTTTTTATATAAAATCGAACTCCCATTTAGTATTGTCCCCTCTTAACTTATTGGACTTAAATTATTATTTAATTGCAATTAACCAATTTCGAACATGGATCGGATAACGTATAATAAAATATTTTATATAAATCTTCCTATTTATAGAGCTTTATAAAACCAAAAATAGAGCTTTTGTATTAATCGCAATTGCATATAACACCTACCTATTTATATGATTTAAATGAATTCAAAATTCTAGTTACATTTTATGCACAAACTACTTATTTATAAAAGTGAATAAAGTTATAGATTATCAGCTTTAGAGTAGAGCAGTCCTTTTGTTGTTTTAAACAAATTTTCCAAAAAGTGTAAAAGTGATGATAATTAAAAAAGTTAGGTCAATTTATTAATAATTTAATTAACACATAGTTGATAAAAAAAAGTGTTGCTTCAAAATAGGAAATGATTTTTTATTTTCTATGTTTTGACAAAGAAATAAATCTTTTTCGAACTATCCTCCGCTTCTGCTTACTTACTGCTTTTTTTGAATAATTACAATGTCTTACATTATTTGTAATTTTCATATATGTACATACTATAAGTACTTTAATTTTACAGGCGAGACTTTTTTAAACCACACATATTTGGAATTGAAAAATGCCGCCTCCAACTGATAGCTTTTTAAGATATTTATAACAGCTTTCACTTTTGAAGCACGGGATTTTAAAAATGGTTACGTAAAAGTGTTAAAGTCAATGGCACCCGTATGGGGATAGAGAGAAACAAGCCGAAAATGCAAGCAGCATAGCTTCATTAGGGCTGTCGGTCAAAAAATTTGGGTTAACTACAAAAGAAGTTCAACGACCGATGCGAATAAACAGAGAGACTTGAAATGAGATGCTCGTTGCAGTGTTTGAAAATGTATTTTGTTGGCGATCGTAAGGGAAACCTTTTAAGAAAACAAATATGAATAAATTTAAATAGTCAAACTTTAAAAAGATCGATCTTTAATACCATAGAGTGAGTGAGTGAAAATTAATGCTCAGCTCTATTGTTTGTTTGAATTGTTGCATTCATATAAAGCTTCATTTGATGCGTCTTTGCAGTCAATGACCGGCCCCGGCCCTGCACTTGGCCTAATCAATCGGCCGGTCCAATTTAGAATTTGTTGTCGCTTCGCGCAACTGATCGTGGGAACTTGTGATAAGCTTTTCCCCAACTAAAGTTCATTGGCCGTACGACTCGAGACTCGGCACCCCCATTACAAACTCGTAACAACCCACACACTTCCACGTGATGATTTAAAAAGCTCGCAGAGAGTACATTGCAAAAAGTTTTCTATTGCATATAAATATTTCTAAGCACACTTGGCCTTGACGGGGTGCAATGACCGACAACAGCCGCTATATACGTCATAACATGGCAAATACTACACATACTCTTACCATATGTGCAATGCGTTTTGGGCTAATAGAAAAGTTTACATACTTATATACATAGCTAGCCTAGAGTGTAAGAGTTAGGAAGGAATTTCAAGACAGAAATGTTATATCGTAAGTTATATTTAAAATCTATACTTCAATTAAGCACTGGTACTTTTTTCTAATCGTCAAACATTAATTAGTTTATACACATAATGTATAAAGCTATATACAACTTGTATATATAAGAGATCAGAGGGTTGCCTCTCTACAAAAACCGGATAGCGGAATGGATTTCATTTCTTTACAAGCCTGCTACAGTTTTCCCCTTTTAAAAAGGGAGGAAAGACAATTTCTAGTACCATTTCTATTGGGTGGCTGGTATATTTTTTCTACGGAGCTTTTCAGAAATTTACAGCATTAGAACTACGTATGGGAGATGCAATTGAATTCTTTTGATGGGAGATATGCGAGTACTTGTTAGTGCATACGTTCATACCTAAAACTAAACACTGAGCGGAAGACGTAACGAGAGCTCTTATACAACCCATTGTAATACCTGGCGGTGAGCTTTTAGCCTCTATACTCGTACAAGCCGATAGTATAAAAGCTAATTGTGCGCAGCGCAACTCAAACAGTTTGGCATTCGAAACAGTTGTTGCAGCACAGTCCAGCTATCGAGAATGTGCGGCAGTAATAGCGAACCTTCAAAAGGAAATGATAAGGACGGCGTGGAAAGCTCCGATGCTCTGCCAGCTGCCGTTACGAATTCCCTTTCTGCGCTTTTACCGCTTCTAGGAATCACTTCCGATGCATCCGTAGAACTGGCACCCGTCTCGGGTGTGGGTGAGAACTCGTACGGTCAAGTGCTTCGTGCTAGCTGGCCGGGCTCCGATACAGCCTTGATTGTGAAAATGGCGCCCAAAAATGTGGCAAGACGGGCGCACATGCGCGTCATCGATTTCTATGAGCGTGAGGTGTTCATGTACGATCGTGTCTTTCAAGCGTACCGAGCAATGGGTGCACATTTTTCTGTGCCTCCTACCCTGCACGCCAGCGATCTGAAGGCACCGAATGAGTTTCTCATCTTTGAAGACTTAAGCCAACAAGGATATGTGCAGAATGAGCGAAGTAACATGCCCACCTACGACTTGGTGGTGAGTGCCATTGAGGCGCTAGCCCACCTCCATGGCTGCTCATTTGCGCTGCAAGCAAAGCAACCAGAAGTATTCCATCAGCTGGTATCACAGTTGGGCGATAACCTCTTCACCCAGGACATTGGGCCGGTGACGATTGAGTTTGGCAAGCAGCAGGTGAGGCACACCAGACGCATGTTGCAGGAAGACATCAGGATGGATACAGCCGAGCCTAATGTACACAACATGGTAGAGCTGCTGCAGCAGTGTGAAAATCACTTCAAGGCCCTCGCTCTGGATTGTGTTAATGGAGCAGGTCAGGCCCCTTATGCGGTGATCTGTCACGGCGACTTTTGGAATAACAACATTTTGTATAAACACGATGTGAGTAAGGCTAAGGATTTTCAATATAGTTTCTGCTAATGGTACAATAGTTTGCATCTCCAAAACACAATTCCAACGCCGTTTCCTTTTCAAACTATGCATTTACTCGTCTTCTATCATTATCCAAAAATGGAATGATCAACTTTCGGAAAAAACATAGTCCAGCATTCTAAAATAGCCTCGCTTGATCGATCCATAATTAACCTACGAGTTGACGACGAGCTACCTTTTCGTTTCTACAGAACAGTACGATTAAAAAAGGCGATAAAGGGACGAAATTTAATTTTAATTTTTAAAATTATTCATTTTTTAAGATATCCCTACAGTTATTTATTTATTTTACTTGATCCTTTTTCCATCATAATTCTAATCATTTCTTTCTTGATCCTTTGTCATATACTTGTATGTTTCATTAGATATCCATTTCAGTTTTAATAATTCCAGTTTCAGTCAGGATCTATTATTTGTGTTCCACACAATAGAATTGAAACTTGGTTATTTTTGAATTTCTTGTATCTATTATTTTGTTCAAATAGGAACAAACTGAAATGATCTCACAAACTTGTTGAAAGTGTTTTGCTTTTTTCACTTTATTACAACAATTAATGAAACTTTAATTTTTGTTTCCAATTAGGCTCTTAGTGGACGTGCCGTGCACGCCAAGCTGATCGATTTCCAAATGTCGCGCTATGCACCTCCGGTGCTGGATCTGGTGCATTATCTATATACCTGTACGGAAAAGCAACTACGTGATGCACATTTTTCCGACTTCCTCAGAACATACTACAATGCATTAAGGATATATATAGAGGGCTTTGGTCTGACTATGGAGAGGATTTACCCTCAGAGCATTTTTGAGCAACAGTTGAGAGAATTTGGAATTTACGGCTTCATAATGGCCGCATTTGCCATGCCCTTCTTCATATCGGAGGCGAGCGAGATCGTTGACATAGATGCAGTTTCCGAGGCCATTCAGGATTTGTCCGCCACCGCTCATGACGATCATCTCGAGGGACAAATTAAAAATGACAGCGGCCACAAAGATATTTCCAAGTGCCGCAAACTGGTGGAGGAACACGAAATGCTGACGGAACGCACATTACCGATATTTAAACGGCGCATGACGGATATTGTGCGCGATCTTGTCAAATACAATATGTTGCAGCCGTTACTTAAGCTGAACAATAACTGAAATCAATGTTATTCAAATCGTAATAAAATCTGCAACATACAATTATTATTTTAGTGGGGCACGTCATCGGTTGGATAAGTTCATATTTTATAGAATGAGAAACAGGGAACTAACATATATGATAAGTATTGTTTGAACCATCAGCAAAATAGGACGCTAAAATAAATGATATGGTTTCATATATTTAATTCACGCGTATATGTATTTCTTGTCATATTTTTTTTACAATGCTTGTGTAATTATTTATATATGTATATAATTTGCTTCTATTCAAGGAAATTAGTGCTTTATGAGCAAACAAGCCAAATATAAATTCTTAACTTAAAATAATTGATAGCAAAAACTAAAAACGATAAAGCCGTGCAAGCGTCGCTAGATGATCTAAACGATGTGGTTTTGCCAGAAACCAGCTTGATAATTTGGCTAGACATATGAAAACATTAATTGTTAACCTACTACTATATATATGTACATTAGTGTCCTGGTTCAACCTCGGCCTACCAATATAAGTATGTCATAAACATTGTACATTTGTGAAATGCAAATAATGAACAATTTTTGTGATAGCCCTCGACGTCAACTAAATGTGTTATATAAAAAGTACGAGTAGAACCTATGTATGAGATATTTATCGATATTACGAAGTCATTTAAAAAATATGATTGATAGCTGCCATACATTAAGTAGCTATTTACAAAACATTCAATATGCATAAACTATGGCTAGGTTGCGAAAATAATCTAATCTTAAAATTATAAACATAAAATTAACAACTCGATGAGTTCATTGCAGCGTTGATTTTTGTTTAGCTTTGGGGTGGGGATTATGCTACATAAAATTATGTATGGGATCTCCATTATATATTCATATATATATATATTTTTTGTATGTCATTAGCCAGGCGTATACTTTGCAACAAGAATAGGCATCCCGTGGAATATATTGAATGTTTATTGCATGACCTCGCGAAAACGTTTCTGCCGTTCCAGGCTCTCCACCTCGGCCCAACAGTTGCGCATATTGCGGAAAAGCTGTAAATGTAGGAAAATAGGGAAATTAATCGATATTGACTTTGCCATTATTTAAAATAAGAAACACAATTAGTTAAATGTTGAGACAGCAAACGAGTGGCGGATTCAAAAGTGTATTTGGATATTCGCGTCATTACTTTTTAACCTACTACTTTTACGACTTTCGGACTGAATTATCGCTATGGCAAGTGCGATTAGTTCAACCAGATAAATTAGAAAAGTGATTTCTAACATATTTTTCTGGAGACATCCCATTCAAATCTCACTTGAACTTCCTAAACAACAATATATTTATTTTAGTAATTCTTGAAACAAACTTGCCTCATCAATCCAGTTGTGTTCGGCCAGCAAATCATTTAAAATGTCAGTGGATGTTTTTCCCGGATATTGTTGCTGTTGCTCCGTTACACGTTGTGAGCAATTTATGAACAAATTGAATTTTTCGTGTGCAATTTTGTGGAAAAGATCGGCACGTGCGGCACATATACGGCAGAGTACGATATCCTGTAGGCAGAGCCAAGAACATTAATTAAATGTATTGCAAATAAAAGGCTAACAAATATGATTGTACCTTTTCGTAGGCAATACGGGTATCGACGGGTATGCTTTGCATGGTGTTTGGGTTATAGGGTTCACCGAAGAGCAGAAAACGCACAGCAATCCCTGGCTGATGGCAGCCAGCGCAATTCTTTTGCGTCACATTGTTCTGACCCCATTCGGAGAAAACATGACACTTGGGCCAAGTTTCAATCGATGAGATTATACTACGCGTCCAGGGCGTGATGGCTAGTAGTTTGCGCTTGCAGTTTTCCATAATGGCATCAACAACTCGCACGCTGCCCAGAAAATAGTCATCTATGGATGGGATGCGAAAATATGTGTTACACATGATTAGTCATCGCTATATATATAGGCAAACTCACCCTTCTCCCGGGTTATTTCAGAGAAAAAGCTCGGGTCCAGTGCCTGGGATATCATTGTTTGTATATAAATCTCGAAACTGTCACGATACGACAAATAGTCCTCCATTATTTTCTCAATGAATTGCTCAGTATCGTCGGCCAGTAACTCGGAGCGCATGAATTCCACGACAGTTTCTGTATGCGATTGCAATTGTATGCGCACAGGAGCTTTGAGGTAGAGCTTCTTCGTTTCAAGATTCCATGAGGCGTACTAAATGAAATGAATTCAAAAAAATTAGTTAAGGACAAATTGATCAGATCAAAAGGTGTGTACCTTTGACATATTGCGATAGAAGGTTTTGCCATTTTGCCGGAAAGGTTCATATTTTTGCAATATGCATTTCGAATCCACTTGCCAAATCGTTGGCCAATCGTTTACCAAATCAGCACGCAACACTATAAAGTCCCCGGTCTGTGAATGGAAAAAAAATGTTAATTAGGTATCCAAAAAGTTCCAACTAAGTCAACGAAAAATGTGTATGATTGAAATTGTTGGCACAGCGTCAGAAATAAGGGCTTTAATTGTAGTATTCAAATAAAAATCATGTACGTAAGAGCAAACGCTATGGTATTGAAGTATACCTATGGCCTATTCTTGTAGTAGGGTTGAAAGGATATACAACTTTAAAGAATGTTTGCTTGCTGGCTTTGCAATTATGGAATTTGTTCATATATTTCAACTTGAAAGAATGATTGCTTTCTGAATATAAGCTTATCGTATTTTTTTATAGACGAATTAAAAACATTTTGACTAAAAAAATGTAAGCTACTTGATTACCATTCAGTTGAATGTAGGTGGGAACTTAAACGTGTTCCATAGAAAAATGTTCTAATTTACTGTGTGGTTGGCTATTGCAGTTAAGTGAAGAACCTTTAGTTTCGGAGGTAAATTCTTTAAACACCATGCGAGGTTTCTATATAAGTATAGATATAAAACAAATGAGCGCCCTAACCTTGAGGCGTAGAAAGTTGTTGCAGCCCTACACTGACTGTTTCCCCTAATATGCCTGGATATCAAAATGACTGATTAGCCTTATTTAAATTGGAATTAGCGAATCAATATATTAGCACCTACTTTAAAGTTCTCGGTTGTGCTCGTGCTGGCTGCTGCGGCATTAGCATAACCAGATGTTGTCACATCCGACAAATCCTGCTGCGGATTGTAACCATCGTTTGAATGCAATTGTTGTTGTTGTTGCTGATGAGGCTGCTGATTAACTTGTTGCTGTTGCATGAGCTGTTGCTGCTGTGGTGGTACCTGCAACTGTTGTTGTTGCGTCGGCTGTCCGTATGTGTTCTTTCGTGGAGTACCCTTCGTGCGACGCGCTGCCTTGCGTTTGCCAAAGCCTTTACTACCATCGTCGCTCTGAATCAGGTTAAGGAATTAGAGGAATTACAAGCCTGTAGACGAGCTGGCAACGAGCAATACTCACGTCTTCCTCCTGCGGTGTCCACACAGGATCTGTATCCGAGTCGGTAAACTCCTCCGGCTCCGCAACAGTGCCATCGGTTGAACTCAGAAGCATAGCAGCATGAATGCTGCTTTGTTTGGCCTTGCGTGAGCATTGCTCGCGACGCGGCGGCAAGTTCAATGGGTCTGTGGAGAGCACAAAAGTGGATTAAGAACAACATACTCGGTTTGCTGATGGATTTTGCAACAGGGACACCAACAACGACGACCACCACAAAACGATGACGACGACCACGCCTTGGCAGCCTGGGGGCACCCATAGAGATAAAAATAAAAATACACGTTTTGTTCTTTTTTTGAAAATTAATATTTGTTCTTTGTTTTGATTTCATCTCAAAAATACGTTTAATTGTTTTTTGTTTGCTCATTTGTTTTTTTTTTTTGTTTTTTTTTTTTTTTGTATCTCTTCTAAGCGATTCGAATTGCAGTTCTAAGTTAATAACAATAGTTGAGTTTTTTCTGGTTGATCTTGTTGTTATTGTTTCTGTTCTTTATACATATGCACAGTATTTTGTGTTACGTTTTGTATGCCATCGTTTGTCCGTCGGTCGCGTTCCCGTTCCGATTACGTTTGTCCGCCCGTCCGTCCCTCGGTCCGTCCGTTTGTTAAACATTTTCGTCCTTGCCTAATGCCTAATGTCTAAGGCTGCCACGGCCAAAGCAGATTTAAAAAATGATGAGGATTGGGCGCTGGCGGCGCCGCCGCTGGAGCCGCTACGCTAACTGTCGTATTGATGGTGGCCGACGCATGCGTGTGTTGTTGTTGTTGGTGGTTGTTGTTGTGGTTGTAGTTGTTGTTGCATGATGCGGAGGAAGTAGCAGTAGTAGTAGTAGAATTCTTATTGGAATTATGCGGTTGGTCAAGTAACATACCTTGACTACTGCCTCCGCCTCCGCTGCCTCCGCCGCCGCCTAACTGGGCACAGTGTTGCTGCACAAAGTGTTGCCCACCCAGCGCCTGCTGTTGTTGTGCATATGGCCTAAAGGATGATGACTGATCCGCAGGCTGTTGTATGACAGATGCGCCAGTAGCAGCTGTGGTTTCTGCCGCGGCCGCTGCTGCCGCCGCTGCCACCATTTGTGCATGTGGCCTCTTTTTGGGCAGTATTTGAGTTTGTGAGAGTATTTTAATGCGATGTCCATCGTCGCCTACCATGCCAGTAAGGCCATCACCGCCGGAATTTTCTGTTGCAGCGGGCGTCGCTGTTTGCGTTACTGCTGCCTCATCGGCACTACCAGGGGCCCCTTTTCCCTTGCGCTTGTAAGGCGTTCGTGGATAGTTGAGCTTGCGCGAGGGCTTCACAACCGGAGGAGGATCATCGTCCCGTTCGCCTTGTAAAAACTTCAGATAGCTGTCCATGAATTGTGTTTTTTTCTCGCCAATAGACGTGCCTACGCTGACAGGCTTGGGCTGAGCCGCATTAAACGAGCTGGGCGTTGCGGGCGTTAAACCATTGTTACTGGCATGCGTTGACGTTGAGGGTGACGGCTCTGGCGATGGCGTTTTATTGGGATTACGTATGCCAAAGTTGGTGTTGTTGGTGGACGAATTGGTGTTGCGACCATTGCTGGACAGAGAGTTGGCATACCCTTGCTTCGCCGCACTATTGCCATCGGCCAAAAAGTCTAGTTCTTCCTCAATGTTTGGCACAATGACCTTGTTGCTGGCCTCAGCGGCTGCCGCTGCTGCAGCCGCCTCCTCACTTTGCGCTGCCTCAGTCTTTTCCTGCTGTTGTTGTTGCTGTTGTTGCTGCTGTTGTTGTTGCTGTTGTTGCTGCTGCTGCAGCTGCTGTGCTAATTGCTGCTGCTGTTGCTGTTGCAACTGCTGTTGCTGCTGTGTGTAGACTTGCTGCTGTTGCTGTTGCATGCACGCCGTATACTGGGAGGCTATGGGTTGTGGAAATGCTGGATAATATTGCGCTAGTTGTGTGAGATGCGATTGCGCCTGGGAAGATTGTAAATGTGCTGGCTGTGGCACATGTTGCTGTTGCTGTTGAGTCGACTGCTGCTGTTGCTGTTGTTGATGTTGCAGCTGCTGTTGTTGCTGATGTTGCTGCTGCTGTTGGTTTTGTTGCGGATATGTGGGTATGTTTATGGTGGCCACTGGGGAGACAGCTGCCGCATTGTTCTCAGTTTTTAATGGCGTATTCCACTTGGTATTAAAATCATAATACGTGTTTTGTTGTTGGTTCTGTTGCTGTTGCTGCTGATTGTGTTGCTGCTGCTGTTGTTGCAGCTGGTGATGCTGCGAGTCCTGCGGACTTCGCACTGTATTATAATCGCTGTTTGCTATCAACGTCTTCTTCGGCTGCCGCTTGCGCGGCGTCTTCGCAGGTTTAGGCGGCGGCTTTGCCTCCTCCTGCAATGGAAATGCGAAAAAACAATAACATTAGATATTGGCGAGTTGTAGATCTTTCTTACATACTAAATGTTTATTAATTCAATGGTTTTGTTTTTAACAAGCGCAATACTACGCCTTACTTTCACTTCCTCGACAACAGAGCACACACATTCAAACGTCACGTCACAGGTTCAAATTTGCCATTTGGCTTTGTAATTATATTAAAAATTAAACAGAAAATCCACATCTACTTGTATGTGTGTAAGAAATCTTTATTGTATAAAACAGACAAAAAACTGCCACCAAATTACACAAGTGCCAAATTTAAAACTAATACACACAAATCCGTTTTGCTACGAAAAAGAATTATGAAGCCCTTGAAAGAATTTGGCAATAAAAAATACTAGTCTAAAGATTAGCATAAATTCGTTCAACAAAGTTATGCAGCACAAGAAGCATGCAGAGAGTATCATATTAAATATTTATATTAGAAAGAAAACCATAGTGGTAGTCGGAAATAGTTAGAAATTTAGTAACAAATTTTCTAGAAGCTTTACATATCGTTTGCTATACGATTGGATTAGATACGTGTTGAACCCCTATTACCTAAATGAAGTTCTAATTTGACAAAAGTAGTTAAGCTATAAAATGGTGCCGAGGACAAGTTCAAAAGATATTTTAAAGAAATATTAGCTGCTAAGAGTTCGTTTCGTTCGACCTGATAACTTTATAGGAAGTCCACACTCGATAGAGATTATTCTGATTTGTCGGGCTAACCAAAGTACATGAATTTAAAAAACGGCAACAAAATAGGCGTTTAAGCAACAAAAAAATAAAAGCAAAAAGTGTTTACAAACAAACATTAAAAAAAATGAAAATAACGGAAATAAATACAAATGAAATACAAACCTTTGGCACTATTTGAATCTGTGACGCTAAGCTGCTGGCCGCCGAAGCCGCGGAATTGACGGACAGGCGCTGTTGCTGCTGTGTCTGCTGCGGTTGGGGTGACATTATCATGTTGGCCACCACATGCTGGCGACGTGCCTTTGTCTCCTGTTGCTGTTCGGCGGTATACTGCGTAGCTGCTTCCTGTTGCAGTAATTGGTCCTGGGTCTGATAGAAAGTCTGTTTGATTTCCAGACCAGGGGGCAGATTAAATACTAAGTTCTCGCCCCCCGCATCTGCCGTACTACCGGATTCGCTACCATAGTCCAGTTGTCGTTGCTCCTGTTTCACATGCAACTGCAGCACATTCTTAACATCCTCCTGCCCATCCTCGAGCTTAGTCCAGCAATGATTTTGCTGTTGCTGCAATTGTTGTTGTTGTTGCTGCTGCTGCTGCTGCTGCAGCAATTGTTGTTGCAGCGTGCTTTGTATCACAGATGAATAGGCCACCGTGGTGGGAGTAGATGGTGTTGCTACCGCCGCAGACGTTCCAGCGCCTGTCACGTTAAGCACCGAGCGTCGTTGGACAGGCGAACCAGCCGCCGCCGTCGCTGTCTTGTAGACAATCACTTGGGGTGCACCGCTCACATCAACCGCCTGTAAATTCGTAATGGGCGAGCCATCCGCTGAGCTAAGCGCTGGGCTGGCGTATTGTACCGGATAGGCACCGGCGGGACTAGCGTTCTGTTGCTCTATGGCATGCAAGGGCTCCTTATGTGTGATCTTCAGTTTCTGGCCATCCAGCATGTAGTAGGTATCCGCATCCTGAAGCTGTTGTTGTTGCAATTGCGTCAAGTAAATTAGATCGTTGTAGGCTTTAATTTGCGCCTTCGATTGTTGTGTACTTTCTTGTTTGATTTGCTATTCGTTGTTGTTGTTGTGGTTGTAGAAGTTGTCGTAAGAAGTAGTAGTAGAGTAGTAGTAGAGGAGCAGGTTTGATTTTTGATTTGTACATAAATTGATGGAATCGGAAAGTGTTTTTGGTTGGTTTTCTTTTGAACGATAGCTTTTTCATTTGTTTATAAGCTTTTAATACGTGGGTTAGTGCTAAATTGCGTGGATTTTAGTTCATGTTTTTGGGTGCAGGGCTTTCGAGAGGGCAAGTGAACGAGATACTATCTATACAAAGCAGCTAAAAGAAACGTCTACAACATGCGTATATTTCTTTTATTTAGAATTAAGTTTATATGCTTTATTTATCTAGTAATAAAGAAACTTTCGAGCCCAACTCGAATAACCCAACACGTAGTTCTTGGTACAGAGTATGATTATCTTAAGTAAAAGTGTAGTTTGAGGCAAGCCACCAACCCATAAATTATTTAATCCTTGTTTTTTTAAGTATGCTTAATCTAAATGGTCACTATACCAGATCTTACTCACCACTTTGTCGGCCACCAGGTTAAGCTGCTGCTGCTGCTGTTGTTGGGCCTGTTGTTGTTGTTGTTGCTGCTGCTGCTGCTGTTGTTGTTGCTGCTGCTGTTGCTGTTGTGCTTGTTGCTGTTGCATGGCCAGGAACGTATTGGATATCATATTTGGCGTATTCCACGTTAACGAGGTGGAGGTCAGCGCAACTGTTGTGGGAGATGGCGATGCACCACTGGAGGACGAATTCTCGCCATAATAATTAGAGGCCACATTATTAACGACAGCGGCTGCAGCCGATGAGACGGCTGCCACAGCGGCCTGATTCTGAAACGTGCTCAGCTGCTTGTCCAGCGTGCTGGGCAACTGAAGCTGACGGTGCGGCGTATTCACAGCCGTGGATGCATAATGTGCGGGTTTGGGCTGAACACTGGCTGCCGCCGCATGGTGATAGATTTGCTGAAATACTGGATTGTAGCTGCCAATGGGTGAGGGCGGCACAAAGCTGCCACCGCTGGCCGCAGCATTGAAGCTCGCGAGGCTCGCCGCGGTTATGGTCGCTAGGTGCGGGTGTTGAAAATCCTCGGCCGTCCCGCTCGTTGTACCAGCGGCTGCGGGCACAATGCGATTGTAGGCATACGACCAGGGGCTGGAGTTCGGATCCATGTGTCTGTGTTTCTGCGTCTGATTGTGTGTGTGAGGAGCGTTGGCGCGCACGCAGCTGCAAATAGTTTAAGTCAGAGGCAGGTTTTTGTTACGTTAGTCATTATTGCAATAAAAGCGCGGCCGTTATAGCAGGGCTGCAAAACCGCCTGCATTTCTTGAATGTAAACGTGCTTATGAGTTTGCATAGATTCTTTCATAAATAACAATTAACTACAATTATGATTCAACAATGCTATACACTGTTTTCGCCTGCACTTTATGCGCCACTGCAACCCTTACTGTCAGGTGCAATTAAATAACGCGGAGGCTACCGCAGGCACACATACAATGTTACTTTATGTTTTTACTATTTTATTATACGCACATTTTTACTTAGTCGTGGGCGCACATTTACACATAAAATGCGCGCTGTTTTGTAATTTGCACGCAAAATTTTTCGTATATTTCCTTTACACTTTTTGGCTGTATGTATACATACACATACATGTGTGCCTGCAAGATATCGAGTGTTCACTTAAGGTAAGCAGCTTGTCGCCTTTCTACAATTGGTGTGCGCTTGTACTGCGTGTGGCCAGCATTATATTTACAATTCGGCTTAGACACTTGCTACAATTGCGACTCAATTTTTATTCAAATATTTTGTGTGCACTTTTTCCCTGCATAACTTTTTTGTGTGTGAAACAATCTCCAAAATGGCCGCTCTGGAACTACCAGCTCAGATGAATAATGCCTGCGTGAACTGGTTCGCTCGGGGCTGCATGTTTATATTCGCTCTACCAGGCCTGCTAACAACATTCATTGTGCATTTTGAGTTTGTTCTTTTTGTGTTGGTTTTATTTCATATTTCCACATATTGTATTTTATTGGTAAGTTTATTTTAAAGGCAAGTAATTATGTGTCTCAAATTACCGCCAATTAGGTATAACAATGCGGCTTTATAACAATCGCAGATACATACATACATACATACACATACATATGTTTATCTGTATGTGCGTTTGGATATGTTCATTACATGAAAGCTAAGACCAGAGCGATAATCATAACAAGCTCTTATATAAATAATACTTATTAATTTAAAAACATTTGAAACAATTCATGGTTTATAACAAATTAGTACATCAAAATATTTACGGTCATGTGCGAAAATTTTCCGTTGCTTAACACTGACGATCATAGAACCAGTTCGATAACAGCTCCATTGTTTCGGTTCGTGCCCTAATGACACTACATTTTACGCATTCATTGCTGCATAAAAGTTGAGAAAAATTGATAAAAACTAAAATTTGAGCGGTTTCCTGTTGACTCAGCAGTACAACAAGCGAAAAGAGAAAACTCAGTAATCACATTAATCTGAAAGTAAGTAGATTTGGCTCAAGCCCATTGACCAGATTGTAATGGTCGATTGTGTACGTGTTATTGAACTGAAAAGACGCCCATTAATGAAGACTTACTCACAGCAATATGGATTTCGGTGACGATTTTGCAAGCAAAGAGGAAGTTGATCCAGCAGCAGAATTTCTGGCACGTGAGCAATCTGTGCTGGGAGAATTGGAAGCGGAAATCACAGGCGGCTCTGCCACGACTGCTCCTGCGCCTGTGACAGCAGCTGATGATATTCTGCTCAGTGGTGGAGGTGCAGAACTGGGGAGCGAGCTAGCGGCAAATGTTGGGGGCGGTCTTGAATCATCGACCGGCAGCTTCGAAGTCATTGGCGGCGAGTCCAATGAACCTATTGGCATTTCTGGTCCGGAGCCGTCTCGTGAAGAGCCTGAGAAAATAAAGAAATGGCGCGAGGAACAGAAGCAGCGACTTGAGCAGAAGGATATCGAGGAGGAGCGAAAAAAAGAGGAGCTTCGTCAACAGGCGAAAAAAGAGCTCGATGACTGGCTGCGCCAGATTGAAGAGTCCATTGCTAAGACTAAACTATCATCGCGTAATGCTGAAAAACAGGCTGCTTCGCTGGAAAACGGTGCTATCGAGCCAGGCACTGAATGGGAGCGCATTGCAAAGCTGTGCGATTTCAATCCCAAGGTGAACAAATCGGGCAAAGACGTCTCACGTATGCGCTCGATTTACCTGCATCTCAAGCAGAATCCAATACAACTGCAGAAAAACGCCTAAGGCCTGGCAGGCACACCTCTATTAGTGTTAATTAATCGCCTAAATCATTTTTGAGTTGAATATCAAATTTATTATTGAAAAGTATTCGCTGTATATTCCAATTGTATTACATACATACTTTATATTATTGCTGATGCAAAGTTCTATGCGAACATTGTTTATATATAATGACTGCAATAAAGAATTATAAATGCAACAGCCATTGCGAGACTTCATTCTTCTTTCCATTAATAAGCAATTAAACCGTAAAGTACCTAAGCTCTTTAATGTCTTCTTTCCAGTAAAATGTCTCAAGAACTAAATGGCAGTCAAACCCCAACAAACCCCGCCAAGGAAGTTGTAAATCTGAAGCGCAAGGATTATTTGAACTGGGACGATTACTTCATGGCCACTGCATTGCTGTCAGCGAAACGCAGCAAGGATCCGAGCACCCAAGTGGGTGCCTGCATTGTAGACACTCAGAAGCGTATTGTGGCCATCGGCTATAATGGATTTCCGCGGGGTTGCAGCGACGATGCATTCTCCTGGTCCAAGCCCAGCGATGGGATTAGTACCGATCCGCTCGAGCACAAATACATGTATGTGGTGCACGCCGAAGCAAATGCCATTCTCAACAGCAACGGTACGTCTCTGGTCGGCACAAGGCTCTACACAACGCTTTTTCCTTGTAATGAGTGCGCCAAACTGATCATCCAGTCCGGCGTTAAGGAGGTTTATTATATGTCCGACAAATATGCCGAGAAGCCAACATTTCGTGGCTCTAAGCGTATGTTTGACGCAGCCGGTATATCCTACAAGCGTTACACGCCCACACGAAAACAGGTTATCATTAATTTCGATGAGATCATTCAGGAGGAATTGAACATATCGCTCGATATGAAGGCACTAAAGATGTGATTTTTGTATACAAATTATTAACATTTATGTGTTTGTAAGTGTATATGATTATGTATGTAACCGTTTAATTTACTATATATGTACTGACAATCTGACAAACTAAGGTGTACTTATGTGCTTATTTTCACGTATGACAAAGCTAGAATAATTGAAAATGTATAAAAAACAAAACTAGGACCAAATAATAGATTTTTAGATTTTTACATATTTTATAAATGCCTTTCAAAAAAGATTTAAGATCGAAGGCGTAACAAAATGAACTATCAATTTTATTATGTGCTGTTAAAATTTGTACTATGTTTCCTAGTCATTGTCAATAAAAAATAATAGCAATTTGGAACTGTACCTTCATTTTCATTACAAGATTATTATAAAATTAGTGGTAAGCATAGAAATGATTGAAGGATATTGCTATTCAGGTCTTTGCTGGCGTGAATATGAATATCAATTACTGTTAGTAAAGCCATAGCAAGAAAGTATTTATATTTTAATTAACTAATTTGGATATTCTACAGAATAACCAATACATCCAAAAATATCATTGTCCTTCTGCTGTGACAATTGCGCGTTATTTAGTCGGAAAACATAGACATTCTGCTCTGTCGGCGAGCCAACGTCTTAGAAACTATATAGGAGTATTACAAGTATTTCTAGTATATAATTAAGCATTTCATTTTTAATTTGAATGCAAATTTTTTCTCACATTTTTCTCTATGCTAAAGAATACAAGTTAATACAAGATTGGCAGAAATTCTGAGCTCAGTTAAAACCATCTTGGGGAAAGTTGAAAAGTTACATCTTTCCAAAAAGTGCAATCAATTACATGCACCATTTTGATTTGACTTATGTTTGTCAATTCTTTTCTTTTAAACCCAATGAAAAATAGTGGAAATTGTTTTACTATTGGAAATGGTTTGGTTGTGTATTTACGAGTATAAATTTGTGTATATTTGTGAAAGACTATGACCCCGAAATCCGTTTCCTTAGAGATTAGGAGAGTCTACATGCAAGGATTGATGGATCAAAAATTTGCTGCAGCAGTTAAACGCAGCTCAAATCTCAATATTTGAATTTCCGATTTCCTGCAAAAAGAACGACAAAGATAAGACTGAGGCGTGAATTGAATGCATTTATTCCCATGCTTATCAATCAATGCTGTGACACTTTATTTAAAGTGTAATAGTATCTGTGACCTTTCGCACGGAATATACAAGTACTCTCATGTTATCAGATTGCTATCTCCAGCTCAAGTGGAAATTCTCCAAGTCAGCAGCCGTCTCAGTTATCGCAAATTCGTGTATTGCTACTCCCACTTTTTGTTGTTGTTGTTTTTTTTTTATTTATTTATTTGTTGTCCATTTGCCTTTGTTTGCTCAGCAAAGGTCAAGATGGTTTCTATCTCTACTCTTACATATTAAAAGTCTGCAATCCATCTTTCTGCCTTTGTTGTGTCAGTCGGAGTCGGGCGAACAGCTGTAACATGACGTGACGACTTGTCATCGTCGCAGCAGTGGGCCACTGAGCTCAGAAATGTCAGCAGATTAAATGACCTTTGCTCCGCTTCCAGCTTTACAGTACAAGAATCTATGTATGTATGTACACGTACATTCATGAAAACATATCTCTGTATGTTTGTACGCGTGTGTCATATCAAAGATACGAGCCTGTTTGGCCGATGCTGAGCTATGGTGTTTCGAGTGGGCATGAAATCCATATGTGTATACATAGATATACATACATATGTATGTATGTACACATGTGTGTATTTGTTCATTAAATACGTGTGAACGCATATCCTGGCATTCTTAAAGATAAAAATGTATACGAACAGCATAAGATGCTTTTCACCTGTGCAGTAAGCCCATAAACCCTATTGATTTACAAAGCATCCCACTGCCAAAAAAAAAAAAAAAAAAAACCATAATAAAAGCAAACTTTACTTTCAGCTTTGAGCTCCCAGCAAAATTCCCAAGCGAGCTGCATTTTACAAAAATAAAATTTCATTGAACGAACAAACAAAATGCTCATAAATCCAACAGCTCTTGAGAGCTCTCCGCTCGAGGGGAAGAAAAACGCAAGCAATGCTAAAATAAATGTAAAAATTACAATAAATTTACAAAGTTGAACTGTAGGGCAGGAAGCAGGACGAGGTGAAAATGCAGTAGCAAGTCCTTTTTAGATCGATGCTTTAATGCCAATTTCCAAGTGCACATCGAGTCTCACAAATTAAATTTCACTTCAATTTCATTCGCTTAAATGCGATTTCGTTTGATGAGGCCCTCAAATATTTTATGATGGTTAGGCCTGACTAGAAACAAACAACAACACAAAAAACCCATATAGGAATGCCTTTCAATTCAAACCTAATTGTACGAGTATGTGTGGAATGACCAGAGGGCTATTTATTTAGGTACTTATTAGGAGAGTAGTGTGTGTTTGTGGGTGCCGACCGGTATGTTTTTAGTGAAAACACACACAAGCATATGAAATGTGTACACGGTTGAAGTCAAACGCTATCCTAAGAGCTCCGAAAATGAGACATCCTTGATAATTTATTTAGAAATCAAATAAGTGCCTCTGACTCCAAAATATTCCATTGCCTCTGTCCCATTGCCGTTTGACTTCTCATATTTCCTGCATCATTTTTATTGTAATAAATAAAACTTTGCTGCTTATCGCGTTAAACTGCATAAAAAAATTCAAATTTAAATTACGAACCCTTTACTAACCTGCTTGAGAAGAGAAGAGAAGGGCTTACTAGAAAATCTACATACCAACTGTATTTAACAGAGAAGTGGAGAATGAAGTACATGATTAGACGGAACTTTATTTTCAAAAGAAAAAAAGCATTACAATAAATATTAAACTAAATAAAAAGCCTACAAAAATAAGTATTTAATAACGAATCCGACTCGGTTAGGGAATTATATTTGCCAAATGGCCAGCTATGCCCCGATTCACAGTGGAGAGTAGTCACAGATGTTATTAGACCTAACAAAAAATAATTAAAGATGAAGAAATGGCAATAAAAATAATGAAGATGTATAATTACATTAAAATACCAAATTAAAATTAAAATACTTAAATAATAAAAGATAAAATATCATTAAAAGCTAAAGGTGGAGAGTCACTGACCAGTTGGGGAAAGGTTTATTAGCCAGTCCGGTAACATATGTTCGGGAATGTCCAGCTGAACGGATGTTCGCCTGTAGAAAAACATGGCTTGAAACCCAATTCCAATACTGAAAAAATGGTAAGTACAACATTAATTTTGCGATAGGTCGTGGTATTTTGGTAAATATACTCAAAAACGGAGTGCAAATATTCTTCATTCTTTTCTGCGAATCACAACGACCATACCATATTACTAACACTATCTGACTTCCTCTATATTTCGGGGCAATATTAAATATGCAATATATTAAGACAAGATAATCGTTTATCATTATATTATTTGCGAATTAACGCATTCTACTTTTGTATTTTTAAGTATACTAAGTACATACAAGTACATATTAGTATGATATATGCTGCTTGCATTTGAAAGTGATAACTACTGTGTGCTATAAGCCATATGACTCAGTTATGATGACCTTGAAAGAGGTCTTCAAATGCCGTGCCATTTGCGTCTGGAGTGGCGTGTGGCCAAGTGGCCATTAGTACTACTATATAGCACTGAAATATGCAAAATAGTCCCATCCCAGTGCGCATACACCAGGCACCACCAACAGCACCATCACCATCACCATCAGCAATGTTGCACAAACAAACCGGCAATATCGTTGAAACAATAAAAGCAGCTCCGGACTCGCACGCAAGCTTGCGGTCTTTTCGGTTTAGAGAATACTCTCATGGCAGTTTCATATAATTTGTCTTTATGCAGTTAAACTTGAGCGTAAACAAAATGTGCCATAAAAGCCATGTGTGTAAATATGTACATACAAGTCCATACAAATATACGTGTACATCTACATACATACATATGTTGAAATGTATGTGCGCAATGTCCTTGAGCTGTTTATGTATTTGTTTGAAAATGTGTTTGTGTCTCCATGGCGTGCTTTGCAATTTTTCATGTTGCACCAGATATGGCGAAATGTTGAATATTATAATAAACCGAGGTCATAGCGGAGAACAGCACATGCCAATATAACATGTAATTAGCTAATTTCATCAGAGGGTGCACCCAAAAATTAAATGGACGGAGACTTGTATTAAACTATGGGGTATGATCGAAATGATCTTGCTGACTGATAAATATACTTGTAAAAGAGAATGTTACAGTCAAGCCAGTACGACTGTGGAAAGCCCTGCACCCAAATAAAAAACGTCCTTCAATATGTTACCATATATGCGCGTACAACTGAAACATTAGATCTGAATCATAAGAGGAGCGAAGCAGGCAGAGATGAACAGATTTGTCTCAACATGCTTGTTAACATTTTATGGGGTTGGAGATGTTTCCTTCGATCTGTTACATACTTTACACAGATCTATCACACTCTTTATATTCTTCAGCTTTCAAGCCGAAAAAATTCAGAAAATGATTCCTTTCTAGTAATTTTTAGATACAATAGAGATGTTTTTCTTATTACTAATTATTTTCCGAAATCATCAGTTAGATAATTTTAAAATATATTGCATGCTTCATTTTAATTAAATTGAATTACTTGATATTAAATATTTACAATAAATAACTAGTTTATAGTTAATCCATCCATATATGTAACTACGACCCTCTGTCCATCTGGCTGTTTTGACAACAATTTCTGCCATAAGCATAGAAACTTTAACTACAACCTCCTCAAAATTTGGCTGCTTTCTAAAAGAGTTTTCTAAGATAAAAACACTTTAATTTGTATTCCTATAGATGCAGAAAATTTCTCTACTTGTATATGTCTTTTGGCGTTATATCTCTCTATGGCTGGAGAGATGAGTAGGAAATGACTTTTGGTGTCCTTCTCCGATTTCATAAATATGCTTGTATACGTATATAGTATGACATTCATTGATGGTGTTTTTATTGGCATCGTAAAATGGCAAATTCTTTTAATACTGTCATAAATGTTTGTCAGATTTATTATGTTTGCCGATATAAATCGATGCAGCGACGTCGGTTTTTCCGTCTCTATGAATGCGTTTTAAAATAAATTTGTATGGTAAGAAGACAAGAATAAAGATTCGATGAGGGTTCCCAAGGGAATAATTATTAGCGTGCTGAGCAAAATTTTGTGCCAACAGCCATCACACAAACATTTGTTAGAAATTTAT